GTGGTCATCTTAGTCTGACTCTTCAGACATTGTCTTGTGTTGAGACTTTCTGGATAAAATGTTTGTACATTTTTACATACAAAACAAGAATCAAAAGCCTGTGAGACAAAGCCGTCCTTAAAGACTGGCAGCGTCACATGTTGCTGCAATTTGTCTATGTTTAGTTGTGCAGCCAAATATATGGTGGACGTCACATTCCTGCCTTAAAACCATGGCTTAGCATTGTCTGCAGTTATTACCCTAATCAGGCCTATGGGATGGGGAGGAGGCTGGTTGCTGTCTCTAAGGTGGGAGGAGTTGGAATAGATGGCTGAAGTGCATCTGAGTAAATCAGATCAATTCATGTGCACTGAGGTTCAGTTCCTGTTTGACTGAACTTTGCTCATCAATAAATGTCAAAGATAACAGACAGATTGACCGGAATCTGATGAAGTGGACGTTGATGAGAGCCACTTTTAAAATCACATCCTGGCAGGAACAGGCAGAAATAGTGACCTGTCAACACAACACCAGCATCACAGTTATTACTGTTTCCCCGAGACCACCTAGACCCCACCCCCCGTGAGTGTGAGGGTAGATGGGTGTTATATTTAGGTCTTCTTGTGGTGGAGAGGAGGGACAAAGGAAGTCAGAAGAGACAAGTGAGTTAAATATTCTGTGGCTTTTTTTGGCTCCATCACTTGGTGCCAGTCTGCAGCTGCAGCATCATCACACGGAGGTAAGATCGTTGATAAAGTGATGGGTTTTGCTACTTTTGTTGTTGGAAAATGGAAAATGTCTAATATGATTCATTTATTTCAAGTACTTTTTATTTTACTATGGGTGGAGTTGACATCACAGCTGTGATGGTGAATTTTGCTGTCGTCTGATCTTATTTTCAGTATTGTATTAAAACACTTTTGAATGTACATTTTATTCTTGTAAATGACTGAATCTTAATCATAATTCAAATGTTTTGTGTATATCAAATGTATTTCATCTAATAGGTTAATTTCCAGATAAGTGTAAAATAATTTCTGTCATTTTATAACTAAAATGACTTTCATTTTGTTAAATATGGATTGATTGGGATTATTTAAATTAATTTATATATTCATAATAATATTTTTTGTGTAGCAATTTATTAAAACATGTTTTTAAATCAGCCTTTATCAAACATTTATATTGACAATTAAATGTATTCTTATTATCCCCAAAAATAAGTTCATTATGGATTGACTGCATTATGAATGACAAAAATAAACAGTCATCTCTAATGGAAAAGGTTGATATCTGAAGAGAATCGAGTTCCTCGTGTATCTCCTCTTGATAATAAACAAAGGGTCAGATTTATGGAAAAAGTCACTCATCTCTAAAAACCAATTACAGCTTTGTTATGAGAGCTGTTTATTTTGAACTGCTCCACGAGCAGTGGAAGTGACAACAGTATCTGCCAACACTTTGCTCTTTGTTGGGGCAGCGGGCCATCAGCACAGAGGGGTCTGTCAGCTCATAATGTTTATCAGGTCCTGACTGATGAAATAAACAAAAAACTAAATTTAATATATCATGTTTCAATCTGAACTCAGTTGAATAAACAATGATCCGGAAAAGATTAATGCCCTTCCACACTGGTAACAGTAAAGAGGTGTGTGTGTGTCATGGAATATATGAGCAGAGGGGCTGAGGGGGGAAGCCACATCAGGGATCTAGACCTAAGTCGCCCCAACTGTCCCACACCAGACAAAAGGTTTTATTTTTGTCTTCCAGGGGGGATTGACATAACCAACATGCCTGAGAAAGTGTAAGTGATTTTTTTCCAGAGTGTAGTTTCACTGAGTCAAGAATATTCATTCTTTGATGTATTATTACAGTCGTCTTAAAAATCTAAATGTATCACTAATCTTTTTTCCCCATTGTGTTTTCTCATGTTCTGTGCACAGAGCAGAGGTAAGGTTTGTCAGAATTCATTCATTTTCATTTTCAGTTCCTGATGAGACTTGGTGCTTATAAAGGAGACATGGAGGAACAGGCTTCAAATGTATTTGCACATGAATGATCTTTTTGTTTTTGGCAGAAGAAATCAAAAATATCAGCCTCTCGCAAACTGATGCTCAAGGTAAGGCTTGTGGACATCTCTACTGTACTAATCGAACAGTCAACACCTGAAAGAAGCTGCTCTGTCACACAGACACACAACTTTGCATGGTAGATGGCGAGTGTGGGGTTACACCTTGGACAGTTTGCCTGTCTTACACAGGGCAAGAAATAGACAGAGATGAACAATTCACTCAATTCAATCAAAAGTGGAAAAAATTACCTAATCTTTAATCTGCATGATTTTGGATGGTGGGACACAAATCCGAAGAACCCTAGGAATCAAACCAGCAAACTAGTGATCTGTCACTGCGTGGCCATGACTAACTGTAAACAACGCTAAGTGGAACAAATCCAGTTTTCATGACCCTCAGTATCCTAGACAGACGTCAGGCCTTGACCTCAGAAGACATAACGCAGGATCTGATCTTTGTGACCTTTGTGACTTCAGAGTCTCATGGTTGCCAAGGCAACAGAGAACTTGGAGTTGGAGATGATGGAGAAGGAGAAGGAGAAAGTCAAATACCTGGAGGAGAAGACTCCACCATTACAGACCAGCAGCATGTCCATCACAGAGCTGAGGGTAGACTGTCATGTTTGCCCTAAAATGCAGACAATAATTTTAGCTCAACCAACTTAGAAAATGACCATTTCAAACCCCTCCCATGGTCTTCGCAGACACTATGTGAAGAGCTGCACGCTAAAACTGAAATTGTGGATGAGGAACGGTACGATATCGAAGCAAAGGTCCTGCACAACACAAGAGAGGTAAACACAACAACCAGTCTTAAGATTTTTAGCTTAAAATTTTAAAGCTAAGACATAAGATTTAAATAATAACAAATCTATGACTTGAAGGTATAAAATATAGAGCTGATTCAGAATCATCACAGTTATTGCATTCTGCAGATTAAAGACCTGAAATTTAAAGTTCTGGACCTGCGAGGCAGGTTTAAGAGACCCAACCTCCGGAGAGTGAGATTTTCTGCCGACGCCATCCTTCGATCACTGCTGGGATCCAAACATAAGGTTTCCCTGGATCTGAGGGCAAACCTCAAATCAGTGAAGAAGGAGGACACGGAGAAGGTGATCAAATAAAATAAAATAAGTTAGTTAAACATATAACATGGTAAGTTAGTTAAACATGTATTAAGTATTATTATTATTATTATACATAAGAAAACAATATTTTTTTACATAAAAGTCATATATGATAAAGAGACACTTCCTATGTGAGGCCAAGATGAAATATATTTTAACGCCTGAACTTTCTGTCTTCATCTGCAGGAGAAGACTGTGGAAGTGAGCGACTGGAGAAAGAACGTAGAGGCCATGTCAGGGATGGAGGGTCGCAAGAAGATGTTTGATGCAGCAAACAACCAATAACTGTGACGTTCATACTCTGATATGAACCAGTCGCCATAAAAGTCTGACTCTGGCATTTTCACACAAACATAAACTTTTTATTCAGCCATGTGAAATCAAGTGTTTTAAATTCAAAATAACATTAAAAGTCGGATCAATGCTTTTAGCATCTTTGCATCAGATTTCGTACTGCTTTATATTCTGATGATTGTCCTTATAAAACAACACTACTTTATGTCTTATGTCACTGTTGTTAAAATAAAAGCATGTATTTGGATGTGGCAAACCAAGTGAAGTGTGAAAGTGTGAATTTATGTGTCTTTCTGAAAACATCGAAAATATTTATTTCAAAAACAGCAAAGATGAAAAACAAACAATAACGTAGAGTTGAAACGACCAGTCGGTACATATTAGATTTCAGTCTTATTCGGAGCTCAGTTTCATGAACTTCGAAGCCACTGAATATTAGTTCCGCTGTTCTGTTTCCTACGGACGCTTGTAATGACGCACATGACGTCACAATCAGAAGGACTGAAGGCCATGTAGAGTGTGATGACACAAAATAAATACTATTATTATTATTATTTCAAAAGAAATAATAATGTTATTTTTGTATTCTGTTAATTTATATTTATAGGACTATTTCATTACATCTGCACAAGAACTCTACAGTAATGTAAACAAATAAGCAGCACGTGCACTTCAAATTTTCGACATCAGGTGGCATCGCCCGCTCACCGTCAGCACACTGATACAACGACTGTAAAATCTAACAATAATACTGTAAACTTAGATCAAACAGAGATCACACAGTTATATCCACATTTTTCTTTTTCTTTCGGCTTTTTCCCTTTTTTCAGGGGTTGCCGCAGCGAATCATTGATTTCCATCTCTCCCTGTTCTCTGTATCTTCTACTCTGACTCCAACTATCTGGATGTCCTCCCTCACTGCATCCATATATCTCCTCTTTGTCTCCTACCTGGTAGCTCCATCTCCAACATTCTTCTACCAGTGTATCCACTGTCCCTCCTCTGCACATGTCCAAACCATCTCAATCTGGCTTCTCTAGCTTTTTCTCCAAACCTTCCTGTCTGTGTTGTTCCTCTAATGACCTCATTCCTGATCCTGTCCATTCTTGTCACTCTTAAAGAGAATCTTAGCATCTTTATCTCTGCCACCTTCAGCTCTGTCTCCTGTCTCCTGTCTCCTGCCTATTGCTACTGTCATAGGCCATGACCGCACATCATGGCTGATGTTTTCATAGATTATGTGGATATAACAGTTATATTCACATAATCTATGAAAACATCATTTGTGCACGAACGATAAAACAACACGGAAAACATTCTATAAAAAAGTTCCACGTGAGAGTTAAATATTATTATCAGGCCAACCTGCATTGTGTTGTTTGTTTAAGGTGACTCATTTGCCATGGGTGTGGTTTTTCTCAAGTACAATCAGGAAGCTACAGTATCACCGAGCTGAAACCGAATCCTGTGATTGAGTGATTCCCTGGCGCTGCATGAAAGCTTTTACTTTACCAACGCAGGACTGTTTAACATCAAATACAAAGATTACTTTACTCAAATATAGGAAGTGAGAGGATCAGTATTACATAAGAATTGTAGTGTGTGTGTGTGTGTGATCGGTTTAGGTCATGTGCAGTATGTTAACTACTGTATGTGTGTATAAATACTGCTCTTTATCCAGTAATCTGAAATATTCATCATATGTAGTGTTTTGACGGGAGCAGCTCTAAAGCTACATCAAAGAGTAATACAACAGGGCAGATGAAGACAATAAAACTGTAGTATCTGAAAATCACATGACTGTGCAAATGAGTGTTTTGCAGCTGCAGCTGTGTATGTACAAACTGGGAGTAAACAGTCAAATGCTTACTCCCAGTTTGTACATACATAATGTATGTGAAGGATGTGAGGTAGTTCATGAGTTCAAAAACGTCTGTCAGCGGTCTGATGGAGTGAAATGTTCGTATTAACCTTCCCCGCTCGAAAAAAAACCCCATAATCTCTGAAAATGTATGAAATATGTATAAAATGAAAACATTTTTAAAAATGTTTCATATAGCTGCATAAGTGTTTGGCACCATAACACTCTTAATTATAGGCCTAGACGTGAGCAAAGCCACTGCCTCCAGGTACAGTGTACAGACACAGAGCCAGTTTTTTGGTTTACAGCCACTTCATAGCTGTCAAGACGGCAGAACACACAGAGCTCCAGTGAACGGGGTCTTTATCATTATCCATTATCAGCCTTGTCAAACATCAAAGCAGGATCTTCGCTCTCTACACACATTTATCATGTTGAATCTGATCATGTTATATGGTTTAATAAAACATCATCAAACCAACGGCGTTTATGAGGCATCGACTTGTAAAACACACCTAGATGGGTAAGTTTTCTCTATCATTAAATATTGAAATTATTAAAAACAGTAAATGATTTCCTCAGAAATTCATTATAAAAATGGGCATGGAAGAGAGAGTGATTAAATGGTGGAAAGTTAGCTCCAGACAAACGTGACTCATTTTGCACGACTTGTTTGGACATGACCAAAAATGTGTCTAAATTGAGCGGAGAATTTGCTTGAACCTGCAGCAGCCGACCTCAGAAGCCGTGGGTCTTCGTAGTGAGCAGGGAGCAGTTTTTGAAACACTAAAATGCCTCTTCTGCCGTGCACCACAGACAGAAGGCAAGTGGAGTGTGAAGTCACACACTCGGAAGTATGAGAAGACTTGGCAGCTCATGAAGGGTGTCACTGCTAACAGGTTGTTACTTGTGAGGACAAAGGGCAGGATTGATGGCTGCAGCAGAGGTGGCGCTGATGACAAGTTATTCTCTGTCACTGTGGGAATCCAGCCTGATCAGTGATTGTGTAATCCTTTTTATTGATGTGTTATTTCAGAGCAGTGCTTCCTAAATGTTCACAGCAGCGCCTCCCACTGCCTGCATGTTCACAGTTATTGCTTTAAAAAGTCCACTGAACCTTATTTACCTTTACCTTACTACTAATCATGAATAATTGAGATGATTCAACATTCCTAAATATGACCAAAAAAAAGTGGTTTACTGCGGGAACAGATAGTATGGAACACACAGTTAACATGTTCATGCAGATTAACCATGCATTTTCCATGATGATGCTGTAGTTTAGATAGTTGTCAAAGGACACGACGACTGTGTGTGAGAAAAAAACAGAAAGTTTGACTCACTTTGTTGACTCATCCAAACGATGACGATATTTATATGGAAAGGTCAAGAAAAATAAACAAGTTGTTGAATTTTAGTCATCACTGTGTGTCTTATCTGTGGCTTGTAGAATGAGGGGGGAGAGTATCCAAAATTCTGTGAAACCAAATTGTTTTCAACAATCGTAATCCCTTGCAAGCGTTGAGCCAATCGTGTCAGTCAAATTACTACTAAAGATAAAATTAATATTTAGAATTCATATGACTTGCCCTGTCCCACCAACAATAGCTTTCTGCCGCCTTAGAGGGCCACACCCCTACTTTGGAAACCACTGACTTAGAGAATGTACAGCAGCACATCATGACGTTACATCTGTGTTAACCCAGGAGAAGGTTTACAGGGACTTACTTCTGAACTTCACAACGTAGGCCAGACGTGAGCGACTGGAACCTTTTTTAGGACCATAATCCCCTGGTGTTCAGTCTAGGTTCTGCAGTGTAAAAATAGACAAAGCAAGTCCATGGAGAACGCATGTTTTCCTATTCCCTTTAATGCCTTCTGCCATCTGTGCGCAGGTATGTGCCCACCCATCATAGACATGGGCAGTCGGCAGCCATGTGACCACACAGCTGGGTTTAAAAGGCTACGGCCAACAGGAAAGGGCACAGTACACAACTCCCCACTGAGCCACATCTGACCCGCACACATCGCACTGTCAGGGTAAGTGCGTACGTGAATGGAACATTAAATCAGGACATTTGCTAATATTCGATTTGTAATCTGTACAGGTGCTGCATCCTAGACATGTCAGACACTGAAGATGCTTCGTACGAGTGAGTACATGTCAGACTCAACACGAGAAAACACAAGTGATGTCAGCACAGTGATTTGGTTTTTAATTTTGTTCTTTGTTCGTTTTCTTTCAGGGAACAAAGTGAGTCAAACTTTCTGTTTTTTTCTCACACACAGTCGTCGTGTCCTTTGACAACTATCTAAACTACAGCATCATCATGGAAAATGCATGGTTAATCTGCATGAACATGTTAACTGTGTGTTCCATACATCTGTGTTACATTTGCTGACTACTGTTGTTTTGAGCTCTCTCTCTGTGTGTGTGTGTGTGTGTGTGAATCTCCACTCCACCAAGGCCTCTGTGACAATAGAACACACTGTCCAGGCTGACAGATTGGAAAATAATTGTAAATCGTTCTAAATATATCCTACATTTCACAAAAAATATCACCAAATCCATGTTTTCCCGCCAGACAGACAGACGCGGCCAAACGCTTTGCCTCAATGGCGGAGGCAACGTTAGCTGCTTTACACACTTGAGCCTTGCATTAAAACATTGTTGGTGACTTAACACACAGCATCTGCTAAGCTGTTGGCTTCACCACGGCGTACTGTATTTTTGGCATGCTGGTGCCACGGCACAGTCAGCTGCCGCTCTGCAGCTTCTCTGACAGATTGACCTTTGTCTTCTGAGCGAGTCCCTCTCTGTCTGAGGCTGAAGATAGTTCACCTTGAGTGATCATCTCAGTGGATGCGTACTTTCAATTCAAACGCTGCATTGGCCTTCCTCTATTTGTGTCTCCCTTGCACTGCCGTCTGAGCGGTCCTACGAGCAGTCCCGCTGTCCCCCGTCCCATCAGCCACCTGCCCACCTATGTGTGAAGTGAAGTCTCTGATAGACAGGAATGTAGGTCAGGTTTACAACAGAGAACTGTGGGCCTCACAGAGGTGGAGGAACAATGACCACTTTCACTTCCTGGTCCATTAGCAGACTGTTAAATGCAGGTTGTCTTACCTTCTCTGCAGTGGGAACAATGAGTGCAGTTTCCCCCCAGTGGCCAAAGGAACAAACGCTTTGGTGTCAATGTTTCTAGAGAGAGGCCCAGAGAGGAAACCAATACTGGCAAGAAGAAAGGCCAGCACTGGAATCACTGCACAGACACTGCAGAGGCCAAGTGGTACTGTGGGAATGCTGGTGGCAGACCACCACCGACCGCAACAGACCACCTCAGACCACAGCTTTTAGCAGTGTGAGGAAATGTAAATCTAATTACAACATTAGAATGTGCACATTTTAGATGGAATCTATAATACGCATGTGTTCTGTGTCAGAGAACAGGAGAGGGCGCTCACAGTCTGGGGCTACTGTAATTACATTGTTAGCTTTTAAGAACCGTAAATTGCTTTGGAACAAAACACGTAATAAACACTATCGTCCAGCCGAACTGAGGTGAGGAGAGAAGGAGAGAAATCATCTGTCAGGGCTGAGTGTGTTTAGTGGGTTGATTAAGGTCAAAGAAAACAACATTTGTACCAGACACCAAAGGTTTGTAGTCTGTTCACTAACCATAACTAGCTCTGCACACACGGAGGAGGAGGAGGAGGAGGAGGAAACAGAGGTTAGTACGGTGTCTGCTAATACCACACAATGTACCATGTGTCAGTTTTTAACACACCGATGTCAAACCTGTAGTCTAACAACACCCTTTAATGACGAGCACTAACTGCCAATAATGATGTTGATGAAATAGAATCTCTGTGGATCTGTGGTCAAAGCAGCAGCACCAACACATATGACATATTACATATACATACATACAGTATATACATATATATAAATACGTTCATATGCATATGTATGCATACATACATATTATATATAAACAAAGGTAATATATATTTACAGTTTATTCACACTTTTATATTTTTAAATGTTTAAAAATTATTTCATAGTTTTGTATTGAATTACAAGGTTTGTTTATACATGGTATTAGACCTGGGGTAATCAGGAGGAAAAAAATATTACTTAAACACTACCACAACACTATTACTTTCAGACTACATTATTATTATTATTATTATTATTATTCCTCCCAAAGCTTCTCTATCTGAGGCCCATTACAATGAAGTAAATGAGTCTGAGGGTCAGTGAATGCTGTCATTGGCAGAGCGTTGTTTTCTGTAAATCTGCACCAGTGCTTGAACAAGCACTGACTTTTGTACTGACTCTCATCTGTCAGCAGATGCTGCAGAGGAATATGAAGGAGGTACGAAGAGTTTGTGTGTTTCTGTGAGGAGAGAATGTTGACTGTTGTTGAGTTGTTTCATGTTTGCTTCATGTGTTGATGTTTGTGGGATTGTTTTTCTTTCTATCTATGCAGATGATACAAAGCCCAAGCAAAAGTAAGAAAATCATTAATATGATCTAATTCAAAGCCAGCCACCCAAGAGATTTTTTTTCTTCATCATTTTTCCTCCTTCCTCATCAGACCCAGCTTTGTTCCTGGTCTGGCTCCTCCAAAGATCCCAGAAGGAGAAAAAGTGGACTTTGATGTGAGTCCAGTTTATCTCTGACCACAGATAAACAGATAATAACTGCTCTGCTGACCAAAGTCTTTGGAAATCGTTTCAGGACATTCATCGAAAGCGAATGGAGAAGGACCTGAATGAGCTGCAGACACTCATCGAAGCTCATTTTGAGAAGCGCAAGAAAGAGGAGGAGGAGCTTATTAGTCTGACGGATCGCATTGTATGATTATCGCTTTGGTTCTCTGCTGCAAAGCCCACGTTACCTAAATACTTTAATCAAGTCCTGCTTTTTGGCGACATTTACCTTCTACAGGAGAAACGCAGATCAGAGAGAGCGGAGCAGATAAAGATCCGAGCAGAGAGGGAGAGGGAACGGCAGAACAGACTCGCTGTAAGTCAAACTGAGAGACTATTTGGGCCCATTATTGTTATTCTGTGTTTTTTATTATGGTAAGTGAATTAATTAAAAAGATAAAATTGCCAGAAATAAAAAGTAAAGCTTGTTTTGTCCCTGCCCTGAATTGCTCTGGTGCGTGCTCACTTGGCAAACATGAGCCTCTGCTTTAGAAACCTTTTTTTTTAACTCTGTCTCACAGTGAGGACTAGTTATTGTATTAGAATAGCAGCTTAGTATAAATGATTAATGTTTGATGTTTAATCTGGTAGAGTTGGTTTGAATGGGTTCAACTGTGTGTGGGGCCGTGTGGGGGTCTCTACCAAAATGATACTATTTATTTTTTAATCTCAGGAAGAGAAGGCGAGGAGAGAGGATGAAGAGGCGAAGAAGAGAGCAGACGACGATGCCAGAAAGAAGATGATTTTGTCCAACCTGACCTTCTCTGGATACAAAGTAGTATTTTTATCTTATTGAGAAAAAGAAATTGTGGAACGGTGTATCAGGAACACCAAATGTTGAACTGTGGCGCTCTTCTTTTCCAGCAGACACAGAGTGGAACGAAGAAACAAACAGAGAGAGAGAAGAAGAGAAAGATCCTGAACGAGCGACGCAAGGAGTTGAACATTGACCATTTGTCGGAGGACAAAGTCAGGTCAGTCCCTGCTTAACCCTAGAGTCATTAGTTCCATGAGTTCCACCGTCTGTGTGAGAATTCCTCCTCTGCCGTGTTTCAGGGAAAAAGCTAAGGAGCTGTGGGAGGGGCTACGTAAGCTGGAGGCAGAGAAGTTTGACCTTCAGTATAAGTGCACGAAGCAGAAATACGAGGTCAGTGTTTTTGATGTGGTCGTCATCGTCTTTTAGTTTGAATCACTTCTCACAAATGTGAATTTTTTTTAAATATATATGTTTTTTAAATCTCTGAACAGGTCACTGTGCTAAGAAACCGGGTCAGCGATCATCAGAAAATGTAAGTTTTGACAAATGTACCATGAGCACTTGCACATTCATCTGTCCACAGTACCAGTATTACTGGGTTTTTTTTAGTATCAAACTCTGAGAGAATTCTGAATTGAGCACTGATTACTTATATTTCATATGACTTGACATTAAGTAAAACCAGCTTACACCCTAGAACATGCAATATAATATACTTAATAATAAACTTAAGGCCCGCGTACCAAATGTGGCCCGCAAAGTCATTGTGTGTGGCCCCCGGGAGTCCATGCTTCTGAGTTTCTTAACTTCATAAATTAATTAATCTTATTACATGGAGCGATGTACAATATTTGTAACTTGAATAAATAATACTCGATTGCAGAAACATATATTTGCATTATGGAGTATTTGCAGCTATACAGTCTTATGACCGGCCTTTTAAGTGGAACTCAAGTATTGCTGATGTGGCCCCCCGGTTTAAATGAGTTTGACACCTCTGCCCTAGAATATTGTCACCCAGTAAGGGTATTAGACCCCCCCACCAGTGTAACTGTTACACCTTTAAAACGACTGTTCTCATTTAAAAATTGGAATTGTAGAAATGACCTATTTATGTCCCTACCACCTGCGCCCCCTAAAGGGCCCCTGTCGCCTACTTTGGGAACCACTGCTATAAGACAACAATTTAGCAAATAATGGCGAATCATCATTTTAGGATTAGGCTAACTAACTAGGTTAGGGAGCGTAAATGAGATTCATATAAACTAATAAATTAACATTGTTTGATGCTATGTTTAATGCTAACCCTGATAAGACACAAGTGAGACGACGTGAACTGGGAGTAATCTTAGGCTCGAGCTCTGATCCAGGGTTAATGTTTCAAACTGGACTGTGACTGTGTGTCCTGTCCAACTGACCTCTGAAGCACCTGGAGGTGCACATTAAAAAGTACACTAGGACCATTTGTGAGTGAACTCATCCTTTACCAGTGAGGAGTTTGGAGATCCAGTAACAGATGGAACTGAGTCAGAGGAGTGTAAGTCATAAGTCACAGGTCTCTGGAGTCTCCTTTGCTCCTAAGATAGTACCTTAAGCCCAGTCTGTTGAGCTTCCAGAAGGCATGAACTCACTGGTGTTTCACAACATGTCCCTGGAGGCAACAAAGACATCTGTCTTCTTTGGACATTCAAGTTTGGGTCCGGCACACATGATGCTGTTGCTGAACCTTGGAGCCAAATGTTTTATCTTTCTGTGCAGACGAGCGTATCTGAGGAGCTGCACCCTTTACTCTGACTCACTGAGAAATGATGTTTGTCTGCTACTAGACAGAGGCCAGTCCTGCAAAGACTAAACTCATCAGTTAAAATCAACATCTTGTCACATGGTGACTCACTCATGCATCCATCCATAACAGCTTACATTTGTTAATGTCTGCTAGTGCCAGTCCCTTCAGTCTCCCATCCAGGGTGAGGTGTATCCTGGACAGTTTCCCAGAGAGATTAGTTTCTACTCACTTTCACACCTGAAAACATGCAATTTTTTCTAAAAGCCGAGCATCAATCCCATGAACAGGTGACATGTTGGCTCTAAGGCTGCGTCAATATCCACTTTCCCACCACGCCACCCCTGATACCTTTCATTTAATAGGACTTTTAAGGTGTTTCTCATCCTCCTTACCTACAAGACACAAAGTCATTTACATGCTGTTTACAACAGTGAATGTTCACCAAATCATTTAAAACATGGGTGTCAAACTCCTGGCCTGCAGGTCACTTCTGGCCAACAAACCCCTAACATCCGGCCCATGACTTGATGTCAATATTATTTTTTTCTTGTTTCCAATAAATAAAATCCCAGTGGAAAAAATGACTTTGAGACCCACGGTCTAAAATAAATGCCAACACAAGGCAAACTTTAACTGCCAGGATTTGTAGCTGGAACCATTTGCAGCAGTTAAAGATACTGATTGTTTTAAATAGCGGCCTGCAGATACCTGATTCACCAATTAGAACTGAGCTTGCAATGAAGCTCTACCACATCAGTTCTTCATCTCTCCTGCCGCTGGAGATCATTGGACAGAAAAGACCCAACTGACCTTAAACTCTTTTGACTCAGTGCTTTAGAAGGGTTTAAAACGATACAATAAGCCGGAGTCGACACTATACACTCTCAGTTTCCCAGTATCAATCCTTACGATTCTCACCTGCTCCTATTTTAAGTTCCTCTAAGCTCCTCACACCGCTCCTCTCTGCACTCGTTGTCTTGAAGACGTATCAGTAACAGCTGTTTGCTGCCAACACAACAGCAGTGAGTGGAAAAAACACGAGAGGTGATCAAACAAAGGAGGCGCTGCAGTATGTGAAGTACATGTTCGCCCAGTCTCTGAGGAGAGCCGGGCTGTGATGGAACAGCTGAGCCATCTCACAACTGCTCTGTGATATCATCCGTCTCAACCAGGCTCACAATAAAACAGTGACTGGCCCTGCTGCCATCCCAGTCACGACAATCCTCTGTCCTGATCTACGGCTTGGGTTACGGCAAAGGTCCAGACTCTAAAAACTGCAGCGCGGTTCAGACAATGAAAGAATCGACGGCTGGTTTTTATGGAGCAAGAAAATTAAAACGGCAGTTGATCGTTTAAGACGATAATCTCTCGGACATGGGGCAGGTTTTTATTAGTTCAAATTTACTGTATGGCTGTAGTAATTCATTCACAAGTGTCAGGTACCTCAGTAGCAACAGTAGACAAAGATAGCTTCACGATATCAAAGCAGATCCTCACACGTTTGAACCAGACACTTGAACAGAAATAACAGTCTGATATCAGTCCTTACCAGACCTGGTACCAGGGGTTGACGGGTCGGGTTAGAAAGACCAGCTGTGGTTTGTCCAGGTCTGGTCTAAGGTGTCTTCAGTGTTGGGGAAGTGTATGCTGGGGTCAGTATTGGTACCTGTAGTAAAAGATGAGTTTATTCTGGTTGGTCAGACATGTTTATATGCAGTATTACATGGAAGTAAAGCACGGAAGTAAAATGTGCAACACCTGTTGTGGAATCGTTCAAATAACTTTTTGTTTTCCACCGTGGTTCCAGTGAGTCATTAACTTCAGTCCAGTCAATGAAACAACATTCATGGATGGTTCAGTTTCTTGTTGTTTTTCTGACTGTACTGTGTTTTCATCCTCAGTACAAAGAGCAGCCGGACCAAACGTGGTCTGAGGAAGTAACGACGAGAACATGGAGGAAAACTGGCTTCACCTGACGTCAAACTAGGATCTAAAGTAATACTTGAACACGCTGAAAAAAAATCTTACAGCTCTGAGGGAAGAACAACATCATAAGCTACTCTACTTTTAGAATATAGTAACAGAGAAACAAAGACGGTGAGGATCAGAGGGATGTTTTGGTCTGGCTGATCAGAGAATGTAGAGAAACTCTGTGTGTGTGTGTGTGTGGGTCTGATGTCTGGAATGAACATTTTAGAATTAAGATTCACAATTTGATGTGCACATTTGGTCAACAATAGATATATCAGTGGAAATACACAAAGTGGAGATTATAATAAAACAAAACAAAAATACAAATGTGATTTTTCTCTTTTTTTTTTCTTGAGATCCTTTTGGAAATGTTGTGATTTTTAGTGTGAGATTAAAGGTCATGCAGCAGCTGAGGTAGAAGTTTGATTTCTCTTTTTTAATTAGGTCCAAAGAAATGTTTGTATGGTGGAGCAGACTTGTGTGTATCCTTAAAAGGCTCCTGTGTTGTGGAGCAGTGTTGTTGTGCTGTGTGAATATGAGCTGCTGTGTTCTCAGAGTGTTGAGGAGATGAGAACACTCCCACTGTCAACTGATTTATTATCAAATTGACAAGAAAACAATTCTGACCTGGATGTGTTGCAAGGACACTTGGGTAAATTTAACACAGTTTGATGGAGCGCTGCCCAACATGCAGCTGCCACAGACCCATTCAAACAGATAGACAACAAACACACTGAGATCATGGGCCACCAGAATAACAAACCATTCCTGACTTTATTTTCAGGGAGAACTTTTGAACTAGTGCCTGGTTTGGAAATAAAATCCCTTCAACCTCCAACAACTGGGTTACAGAATTGGTTTAATGAGGAAGATGTACTCACCACTGAACTCTAGTCTGAGGTTAAGGTTAGCTGAGCAACTTTCCCAGCATGCCCTTTCTTCTTTGGGTTATAAACTATGGTAACCCAGCATGACTGGAGTCACATTACTGCCATCTACTGGTTTTTGTTTTGTTGTTGTTAACAAATCTTCCCCGGGCACCATATTAGATTAGACTAGATTAGATTAGATTAGATTAGATTAGATTAGATTAGATTAGATTAGATTAGATTAGATTAGATTAGATTAGATTAGATTAGATTAGATTAGATTAGATTAGATTAGATTAGATTAGATTAGATTAGACTAGACTAGACTAGATCAAATCAGATTAGATTAGACAAGATTATATTAGATTAGATTATATCAGATTAGATCAGATTAGATCAGATTATACTAGATTTGTTTAGATTAGACTAGATTATATCAGATTAGATTACATAAGATTATATCAGATTATATTATGTTAGATTTGATTTAATTAGATTTGATTGGTTGGGATCAGATTAGGTGAAAGCAGAATAGATTAGATTCCACTGTAGTGTTATTGAAAGTGTTGTTCTACAGTTTATATATACTGTATATATATTTATTTTTTAAATCACATTGCAGTCTTTTTACAGAAGATTATTTCAACAACAGATTATATCCCTAATCCAACTCTTGGTCCTGTCTAATCCTAATTTGGGCCACAACGTGCTAATGCAGTTGAATGAAAGTAGGTGTAGGTGTGGGAAACGTACAATTCTGACTCTGCACTACTAAAACATGTAGCGGTTCATCTTCCTCCGTTCCAAAACCATCTCAGTAGAGGTAATGAGAAAAGCTGCGCCCTGTTCTCTTCACAAGTGCAGTTTTGCTGTGAGTGACCGGCAGTTTCAGTTCTCATAACACTCACCGTGACATGATGGAGACTCCAACCAGGTATTACCAGTTCTCTGTGAATGACCTAATTGAGCATAAATCTGTCAGTGGAAAATGAAATGATTATGAAGGAAACTCAACCCCAGTCTGGCACCTCATAAAGGCAGAGCTGACTTTTAACCCCGCTGCTCCCTGGTGGCTGGTGGCCGGATTATGTGGTTGGAAGACCAAAGTTTAAAACCTGCTCAGCACTAATTCACCCCAGTGCAGCAACAACAGCTGCTCTGGCTGGCTGTAGTGAAATGACTTGGCCTGGAAAAGTACAGATAAATAAATAAATCACAGAGGGTGGAGCAGTGTGAATTTGACAGATGAGTTGCTCATCTGCCTCCAGGCATTCCAAACGCAGCAGCCAAAACCTGGATGGGTGTGACAAGATGCGAACCAGCGACAATTTTCTTCATGTTATGCCAGTAACTGTGACAAATCACAATAATTGTGATGCCAAATGGATTGTGAAGAGATGGGGTCATGGACCAATCCACTGGTGGTTCAAACCAGGTCAGATACGTCAGAGGGTGGAGCTAACTCCAATTCTCCAGTTCATCATAGGTGCTCATACAGAGACAGAAAAACCATTCACACTCTTTGCTATGGAGTTCAATCATCCAGTTTAACTAATCTTCCCGAAGGACTTGATTCACATCTGTCTTCAATTTAGAGTGAGTAATTAATGTTTTTGGACTGAGAGAAAGACTACAAGTTACCACAAGGGTTTGAACCAGTGACAGCCTTGTTGTATGGCAACTGCATTAACCACCCAAACACTGTGTTGTCCTGACAAAAAGCTCTGTATGAACTACAGAACTGGGGAAATGGCCAGTGTGAGAAGACAGGAAATGTTTAAAGAAAAAAACCCCACACATTTGTATTTTTTAAAAGGATGGAAATACTTTACTTTTTGATACTTAGTGCGCATGCAAAAGCAGAAAAATTTTTTTGAACCATGCGGGCTAATACATTTAGTAAAGGTAGAGTAGTAAAGTAAAAGATGTACTGAATATTATGACTATGTCGATTACTATTATTCTAATTATTACTAGTGAAACTGGATTTTCTGACAACTTTATTGACAAATCTTTTCATTTTCAATCCAACACATTCACATGATGATACACACACCCGCATCAAACACGACAACAACAACAACAATTAAGTCTAAAGATATTACTGTTTTGGACAAGATTATAGCAATTACTGCAAACTCATTATTGTCACAATAGAAGCGCAGCCTTTTTTTACACTGTACACAGTCAAACACATTCAATGATCTCACGTCACGGCATCAAAAATGGAATATCAGTGCAAAACAAACTCCTCGCCATGACGTTTCCATCCAAACAATTTCACACATTAGAATTAAGATGTCAGCGGTATGGAAAGATAAAACAGAAGCAAGGCTGCTAAAAAAAAAACATCATCGCTGTTTAAAAGACATGCTTCACCTCAACTGTCACCTTTTCCTACATAGAGTCACCGAACAGCAGGTCAGTAAAATCATCGGTCGGTTATCGCACAATCTGGATTCAATGATACTTTGGAGTATATGTCTGCAAGTCTTTGTGAAATGAGAAAGGATGCTGCTCAGGCCCGGTGCCTTTACATCTGGTGAATGTGCAGAAAACTTGACAGGACAGTTTCTCTCCGGTCTGTGATCAGCGGAGGCCGCGGCGTCAGTCGACGACGTGGAGCGCCTTCATTGCTGACGTAGTGGTTTGGTTCACAAACGAGGACTTGATCATCCCTTGCTGCAGGACAAACAATTAAATATTTACCAGCGTTCCGCCTCAGCAATTATGACAAACTGTCAGAGATACAACAACAATTCGCAGGAACAAAAACCCGCCACCTGACTGTTGGAGTTCAGATTACATAAGGCTCCGTGCTGATGTGGAGCTATACATGAATCTGCTTCACCAAACCTAATCCTCTCAACCTTATCCCTTTGTTTCTCACAAATACCAGAGAGAGGTGTGCGCCTAGAGGCGGGCGACAGACAAAGAGGACACACCCAAACCCTGAGAGGCCGTGGCACCGCTGGTTAGGCTGTAACTCACCTTCTTCAGAGAGCTCTGTAAGTCTTTCTCTGACCACAGGTTGTAGAGCAGCATGGACGCAGCTTTGCTGGACTTGGGGAAATAACTGCAAAAAGAAAAAAAAAGAGGAAAATTGATGAATTGGACCACGTTCTCCCAGGAGTCATCAGTATTCCCCTATCTCATGTCATGGATTAATCCTCTGAGTGTTCATGCAGGTACTTACTGTAGTCAGGTCTCACTGTCTGTCTGCACACATCCAGACTTACTTGTTTTGGCTGAGCTCTCTCAGCGAGTTGATCAGGGCTCCGTTCAGCAGCCGTTTGCCCATCTCAGGCTCCTTCATGAACAGACAGTTGGCGGTTTGACAGGCCATGGACAGGGTGTCGTCAGACTCATTCCCGCCCTTGGTTCCAGTGCTGATGATACCCACCAGCTCAGGCAGGGCTTTACGAGCTTAGGTAACAAAGACAAACAAAAGCACAAGTTCACACTGGTGGAGCCGAAACAACAGATTACAGAGTAATTATTAACAACGCTGACACTGGGGTTGATTACAGCTCACCATCACTGCCTCACACACTCAAAGCCCGCACCCCCCAGGTCGAAGCTCAGCCCCCAAATTACTACAAAAAGGAAAGTCTGGCTCTTATTTTTCTGTGTGCCTGCAGTAAACACACTCCACAGCAGAGTAGCTTTGAGCTCTGAGGGTGTGAGAGTGACAGTCAATCATTGTATGACATAAGTGACTGATTGTATTTATGCAGAATGCGGTGAAATTAAGAACTGATTTATGAAATGTGTTTAAAAATAAGATTAAGGCTGCAAAAGAATGCATACAAAATGGCATACACAAAACAAGGTCTTCAGATCAGGATCAGTCCTGTTAAATGCACTTGATACATTTGAAAAATAATCACAAACTAAAGCCTTCATAAGATGCCCTGGAAAATCTGACCTAGAACACCAGCACCATGAGCAACAAAATGATTGTTTTGTTTTTTTTGGACTGTTGTTTCTGTGCAGATTCTGTCTGTTTCCTGTTTTGTTTTCTGTTGTTTTCATCGCTTCTTACCAAGGGCATTGTGAAGGTTTGGGTTCTTGGCTAGATTCCCCACCAAAGCCAGAGTGTTCTTCTGCAGGTTGACTTTGTTGGACTTCATTAGAGGAGTGAGAACCTGCAGGCCATTCAGCTTCTGCACAATGATTTGACTCATGACTCTGGAAACCTATGAAAACAGAGATCTAGGTCAGTGTGCTAAGAGCTCCGGCCTGGAGTGTACCAGCTGAGCTTTTGATACTCACAATGCCTTCATGTGCAGTCAGGTTTTGCAGAACTCCACAGCAGGTTTCCCGTGTGTCCTCCCGCTCACTGGAGCCCAGCAAATCTAAGTAACTCTGCAGGGTTTTGGAGTGGAAGAGCCAGCCGGCCCCAGTGGGCTGAGGGTCCTCCACCACTGGGAAGTCAAACTGATACTGGGCCAAGAGATACACAGGATCATGGGTACAACTCCAACCTGTCTGTGTCTAAGATCATGCACACATAAAAAGCTATTTTATTCTGATTTTACATAAAATAGGACTGGCACTGTAATGCATCATTTCAGATAATTATTGAGCGATGCACACACTCCAGCCCAGTAGGTGGTGGTAATGAACTAAAAAGTTTTTTCTGCAGGCAGCAAGAAACAGCTATAACAGTCCTAGAGAAAACACCAGAGCTAACGTTAGCCACAACAGTCCTGGTTCTTTATTGCATCCTAATCTTTATTTTAAAATAGATACAAAGTTAGAGGTAGAATGAATTTTCACTGTAAGATTTAAATTATTTTCTCTACCAAGAATTACTCCTAGAAAATCAAGCCGAGGAAACAGTCAAGATAAAACCTGACACCTGGCTGCAGTGTGTGTGAGATAGAACTCTCTTTAAGTTTACTGCCTTTCACGCCCATGTGATTAAGTGTTGGAACACTTCTTTAAAACATTTTGCCTCAAGCAACTGTCTTTTTTTAAAAACTTTTTTAACAACAACTACAGAAATAAGGAAACATGAGCTCTAGCAGGGCAATCTGTTTGTAAGTTGTAATCCTAATAAAACTACAGGTATGTAGAAAATTGAGCCATATATTACATTAAAGGAGCACCTTTTTTTAAGTGAGCTCCTCAGTTTATTACCTCCTTCAACTGCTGCTCGCCAAATATATACTGTAAAGTACGTATTAAAATTGATTATATCTTGTAGCTATTATGTTCTCCAATATAATGGGTGTGGTTCTGAGTGTGTTCAGTGCAGCTTGTATAAAAACATATTCTAAAACACGCTGAGGGTGTGGCTCAGGCATGGTGCATGACTGACTGTCACCATCATCGTTATCACCTTCATCTTCATTATCACTCACCTCTTTCTCTGATGACTTGGCTTGTGGGCTGAAGCAGTTGATTGGCCCATTGTCACCCTGACTGTTGGTCCTGTTCAACGGCTTGGCCAAAGCTGTGATTCTGCTGAACAGCGCCGGGGCCTCGGCCTCCAACTGGAATGTCAGGTTGTGCAGAACACACACGCAGTTTTCTAAAGACTATAAAGAATAAAATAAAATAAAAAAAAGAATAAAAATATGACAAATGTGTTTGAAAGCAGCACGTTATCACACTGTGCACAAAAGGAACAAAGAATCCCAACAATCAACTCGACTGTACAAATGAAGGTAAGTTGTATCTCACCACATGTATTAGTGTTTTAATGTGTAGTAGTAACAGCTCTAGATTTTTCAACAGAATTCTAAATGATTAATAATAAAAACATTTTTGGTAATTGTGTTTTGATTATTACTAGTACAAATACTACTTATCATTATATATGTTTTAATTATATATTTTTATTTATATATATATATATAGTACTATCATCAGGGCTGAACACTGAATTAATAAATAATCATTTCATATGTCATTAGTACGAGCCACTGTTGTAACTGCAACTGCCACCAATGAAACATAGTTATTCTCAAAACAAAGTGATGTAAACTAGTGTTTCCTAAAGTGACATTCACTGCTCAAAGGTTACAGGAACACAAAGGCGTGGGTTGGGAGAGTACATAGTACTGTTTATAGCCCTACTGTAAAGTGTGGCAGTAGTCCCTCTGTTCAGTCTGGTAGTTTTACTGTGCGATGTGCACCTTTATTAGATGATTTACGACCCACTGTGTGTGTCACGTGAAAACCACAGCCTTTTTCCTCTACGCGTCCCAAAATATATTTACGGTATATTACTGTAACATATGTACATAGACAACTACTGTGCTGAAAAAACACGAGAGTCAATCTATTTAGAACAAATTTAACATAAAAAATGAGAATAGGTTTTTTTTTTACCTTATCATCAGGGTTTCCTGTTTCCACACAGTCCTGAACATATTTGACCATGGAGTCGACCAAACCTTGGCTCTTCCTCATCGTCTGTCTGTTGTGCTGTTTGGCACTGCTGAGGTTTCTGTGATGAAAAAATAACAACAAATATATATTTATTATCTATGTATATTGAACATATATTTAATATATATAACATTGTTAAGAACAGGTCACATGACCTACTGTATCTACTCAGTGCACCGTAGGTTTACAGGGTTCCACCTGAAGAAGTAGTTACAGGTAATGACACTGTAATAAAACCTGTGACATACAGTAGGTGAACAAGTGTTGCATCAAACAACGCAGGCTACGTGTGACGATGTGTGAGATAAGAGAAACGCCGCTACCTGTTACTGCGGCGTGTGGCCTGATGTTCACATAAAAGACGCAGTACAAGTTCTTGGATATTAAAATGTTACAAGCAGAGGCCCGTGGACTCCTGGGGGGCATTTCTTGACACACTGTAAATCTAACAGAGGCAGAGACCGTGTTTTAAATTGAAGTTAAGGACCGTCATGACACGCGTCTCTAATGACCAGAACCCTTAGGGCGGGACGGACAAATTAAGTATCTCACTGCAACAAGATTCCAGTGAGAGTGTATGTATAATAATATCAACTGTGTCAGACAGGTTTGTCAGTTTGACTGCTGTGATGGTGTTGTTCTAAAGGTTTGTCTTGGGCGGTGGGGGTAAGAAGATTCTAGTTGACTCAACTTTTTGATTTGTTTTATTTGAATATATATACCTTTGTATAATCTAATTAGCTTAGCACAAAAAGTTAAACAACAAGCTTTGTTAGTACTGCACCAGATCCAGTGTTACAGAATGTACCTTAGTGGGCCCCCGCCCCATCTCTTGTTCAGTTGTGCCCTCTGTATGATTGTTAAATAAATGATTGGTGGCAGGGAAAACATATAAATACATGGAAATAATATTCTTATAAATATGTAGGACACATAAAGATATATACAGATCAACTTGCAGGAATTGAAAAGGTGATTTACAGGAAAAAAAGGAAAACATTTAAATAAACTAAATATATTTGTGACAATAAATAATTAAAAGCTCAATGTTTAAAACAAAAAAATATTTTGAAACAAGGTTCTTTAATTTTTTTTTGCTCCAAAAAAATAAAAGAATTTTAAGATTAATTTTAAGAGCTAGAATGAACTGATGACGGAAACAAAAATGTTAATTCTAAGATATTTTGTCTAAGAATATAATCTATTTTTATTCCACAAATAATGATTTGATTCAATTTAATCAACATGTGCCCTGTTTTAGAAGTAGTATTTGGACTTTGGAACTAAAAGAAATACAATCTATACTGGATGTGAAATATATATTAAAGCTCAGTGACCTCTGGTCATAAAGTAGTAGGAGACAGCACTTAGTTGGAAATCAGCAGATGTGCGGAAGAGACTTTGGACTTTCTTTGGTGGAGGAAGATAAATGTAACAGTAGTGAATGACCCCCTGACCTCTGGTTGGTTGGCGGTAATGAGAACTTTATTCTGATTGGAGTTCAGAAGTTCTGAGTTAGAGGGTACCTCAGGAATCCTGTGGCGTGGTAGAAGACCTCAGGGTCCCTGCTGTCACCTTTGGTGCTGGTTGATTCTGCTGTGTATGGGAGGACCACGCGCTCCATCAGGACAGGAAGAGCCGTCTTCAGCAGGTCTGGCTTCAGGGAGTCTGCAGAGGACAGGTTCCACAGGAGACCTGGGGGAGGTAGAGAAAAATAGTATATTCAGTAACAAAACATCAACTGTCACGTCAGTAAATTGATGCATATTCATTCGGTTCATTAGGTACTCTATGATTTCACTCAGTGTTTCTCAAACCTTTCCTCCATCACCCCTGTGTACATTCACAGCTTTGGCCTCAAATCTCCACTGAATTCACTTCACAACAAATTATTACAGACATCATTAATGCTCTGACAATGATAATGGAAATATTTAAATGTAACTCTTTTGCCCTGTTGGCCCCTACTGCAATGGCTTATGCCCCCCTCTGGGCCCTGCCCCCTACTTTGGAAACTACTACAATTCCATCCAAGACAAAAGATCTTAATGATAAAAATAAGTGTCTCCATATTCTACAATTTATTCTATTTTTATTTATTTATTTATTGCTTTTGGTGGCTTTTGATGCATGACAGTTCCACATAATCCACAAACATACAATATATTTAGTATTAAAGATATCTTTAAACTAACTGCTTTTGTGCAGATGTATTTTCGTCACTGTGACTCTAGTCTAAAAGCAGAGCCAGAACTTCCACTGGTTCTGGGTGAGTCTCAGCAGATCTGTACCTGTCAGCTGTTTCTGGATCTCCACAGAGTTGTTGTGTTGGAGCAGCGCCACCACCTCTGCGATGCCACCGCTGCGATGAATGGCCTCCTTGTTGCTGTCGCTTTTAAAGGAAAGGTTGCGTAGAGCGGCAGAAGCCGTCTGGCTCACCAGGGTGTTGGGGCTGCGCAGCAGAGACACCAGAGGAGGGATTCCTTTGAGCTTCAACACCTGTCAGTGAGACAAGGATCAGCACGGCTGGAAACAGTCATTAGAACCAAGTCTGCCACAGAGCCGTGTTGAAACCTGCTGCTACTGTGATTCTTCACCGTTGGACTTGGACACCTTTGAAATGAATCATTTTGAATAGTGACAAGTACCTGACACATCGTCTGCAAATGCTTTTGGTTTGGTTTAAAAGTGATACTTTCCCCATCAGTATTTGGATTACAGTATTTCATGGAGAACAAGACTGCGTCCTGCCACTTGTGTTACAAACTGCATATATAACTACAAGTATACCCCAAAATAATCATCTGTGCCTTGTTGTTACTTTAATTCCAACTAATAATTATCCAAAAAAACCAAAACAATTATTACTATATTAAATTAAAGTCCAACTGCCACCTTAAAGAACCTCCAATACATGTGCTGACCAACTGGTGACCAGTCAAACCCAGTTGTGCCTAAAAACGGTTGATTCTGATTACTGGCCGGTGCATGATATCGGACATTGAACCCATTAGCCTGTTATGTGGATATATTTAGCCGAGGTTCGTTAGGTTAAGGTTAATCGTTCATTGTTGGATTAAGATTCAGAAGACTTTATTTACACATCTGAAGCAGGAGATTTATATCTAGCTTTAAATTCGGATTTATGTTTGTTCTTTTCCTCTTCACGATTCTTTTTTTTTTTTACCAGATGCGACTAATTCTGAAATCATCATCAGTATACAGTATAAAGTACTGTCTTCCACATAATTCTGAAAGGCGTTTCAAAATATCTAAAAGTTCAGGTCGACAGAGTTACTGTGGGAGTAGCCCTGGTGTCATGTGTGTGCAGGTCAGAACAGGTCAAGTTGCCCCAGGGTCTCTGGAGCAGGTCCATCTGGCTTTAGAGAGAAAGGGTAAAGGTTTGTTTTTTTTGTTTTTTTAAAGTGCACAAACACAGGGATATTTCTCATTCTTGTTCAGGTGGGTGTGGGATTTCTTTCAGACAGAGAAACTAAATATTTTAAATAACTACAAAAAAAAAAAAAAAAAAAAACTTGGGTGTGGACATTTTCCTTTAACTTCAGATGGTAAATGAACGGCAGGGTCTTCATAGTTTTACAGTATACAGCTGTGACCCACAAATGGTGGCCTGCGGTCCACATCAAGCCTGTGAGCTGCCTATTTATTGACCGCGAAGTAAGGGTCAGCAAATGTGTCAGCAAGTGTTCTGTCATGAAAACAATGAGCTATCAGAACACGTGTCCATCAATCTTTGGTTCTCTGCAGTTTGTTTTGTTTTATTCAAGTATTTCTGTCCATTTAAGTCCAAACGGGAATGTGATTTGATTAAATTTGAGTTTTAAATAAAAAGGATTTTTTTTCAAATATATGTGTGTTGTGGTTTGACCTTTGTGCCTTTTACAATTCTTATCTGAATACTCCAGATATATTGCAGAATCAAGTATTCAGAAGCAGTAGAATATAAAGAATACATATAAATAGTCACCAGGAAAATATTAAGAAAAATTAAAAAGTGGTTAATTCATTTTATCAAATTATTTCAAGAAATATATTTAAGATTTATTATTGTTATTATAAAGAGCTGTGTTTTATCAGGAATTTTGATCATTTAATTCTGTCTTGATATTGTGCAGACTGTGTTTATATTTCTATTTTTACTTCTATATAAAAATTACATACTTTAATCTAGTTTATGATAAAACACAGTAACAGTTTTTTCCTCATTATTCATCCTGACAGTTTTGACAAAACATATTTCACAATTTTGGACTATCTGAGTCTGACTGTTGTTGATAAGTCACTGACAGTCTGTGCTGCCTGTTTGGCACCTATATGATCCTTCACCTTTGACCCTGTCGTCATTAGTCAAATCTGAATGTCAGATCACGTTTCAGAAGTTATGTGCTTTAAACAGACAGCCCATTATTCACCTCCTCTTTGGCATTGTTGTCAATGAAGGTGTTGTGCTGGATGTAAGATGCCCCGCAGTGCTGATAAACTTCATTACTGTTGGAGAGAAACTCCACGGCTTCCTTTATACTGATATCTGCCACTTCGTTCTTCTCATATGATCTAAGAGGGAAAAGACAATCAAACGTGTTTGTTTCAGTCACATTGCCGATAGCAATAATAATAATAATCAGGAAAACCATCTGGTTGCTCACCTGGAAATGACCTTGCATTTGGGAACGCCGTCAGTGACCGTAGGCTTGGAAAGCGTTTTGGACAAATCCATTTTGATGGTTTTTATGTGGTTGGTTTTCGTGGGACTGATGTGGCCGTTCTGAGGAGGAACGCTGTGACCTGGAGAGGAGGTTATGAACATGTTGCTCTGCCTCTCCGTCCGGTAGGTGCCTCTGTTGGAGAGGAATCTCTGCATCGGAACGGAGGGCCGTGCCGGCACCGAGCGCTGGCGGAGCAGATCTGGCTCGCTGCGGCTGGTGTTGGCGTGGCCCTTAGGCATGGTGCCGACGGGGCCGTAACACCTCTCGTAGTGTAAAGAGGCAGCTGCGAGATTCCTCTTCACTGTGGAGTCCTTGGAGTTTTTGACTTGCTGCTTCAGGCTTTTGTCAAGGCCGAGCTGCAGAGAGAACATTAGTTTTTAATGGAAGAAAACATTCTCAGATGGCGGCGGCCGGAAGAGAAGCCAAAGAGATGAAGAAACTTGAGCTGAGGTCGTTAATAACGAATCAAGTTGTGAAAGATTTGAGGTGTTTGACGTTTGACGTCTGTTATATAACAGCCTGGCTGCAGCCTGGGGTGAGGCTGGTAATCAGATGTCTGTGTATGTCTGAAGAATGTCAAAGGATTATAGGAGGAGAGTCAACTGAAGACAAACAACCAGCGTAAGGCCCGTGCTGTATAAAGTACTACAGGGTTTCTAAAATGGATGGTTGGGACCCTAAAATGGGACACAGGGACACATGTCGTAATGCAGGACTAGATCATATAGTCTGTACTAGTTTTAATCAGTTCTAGGTTTTTCCCACACCTACTTCCTCTGCCTCTCCTTAAAACGTAGAGGGAAAAGATGGAGCTCTGTCCACGGCGAGTTACTGTTGTAGTCCAGTTATGTGCTGACTGGACAGAAATGATGTCAGAGTGTATTTAATAGAATGTAACTGTGGGAAGTTCTGTCCACTCTTGGGGTCTTCAGTGTTTATTAAAACTGTGGACCGCAAATTAGGTAGAGACCCACTTTTCTATGATTGATACCAAACTGTTTTATATTCCACAGGTCATACTGTCATAAATATTAAAACCCAATGTTTCTGTATACACTGCTAAACTATTCAAATATTCAAACCCACTGTAAAAATGGTTCAAATGGCAATTGTTCCACTGTGTCAAAACACTAATTAATAAACGCCTTCAGTGGTAGAGGTGTTGAGACTTAGACATAAACGCTTCAAAGGATGGTCATGAATTCAAGACAAATTTATGACGTCAGTGAACTGAGGCCTAAAACACTGAGTACAGAGAGCTGGTGCCAACACTATGGCAGGTACTTTTTTCAACGTCAGCTCAATTGTTCTCCAAACCAGGAGTTAGTAAAATGCACTCGACACAACACAGAGATTTAGCCACTCTCTCCACACCTTCTGACTGTTTTCTAATCCAGTTTGCTAATGATGTAAATCACTTAGCCAAGAAATGAAAAAGGAAGAAGCAGCTGCCAAACTCATGTTGACTGTGATTTCCCTCAGAGTTCGGCAGGAATCAAACACCCTTTGTGTCTGTTCCTGTTCGGTCTCTTTTGTTGAACCACCACAGTAGCGAGGTGTAAAGCCCTGAAGGATGAAAATGTCCTCAGCTTGTGTCTTTACAAAACAGGATCGAGGTGAAGACAACTTTTGCTTTGTTTCTTTTTTTGTGGTTACAGAATAATGAATTGTTGTGTCATGTGTGGTGTCCTCATTTTCCTGGGAAAGTTTGTCCTGGGAGTCATGGTCACAACATGGTAAAGTAATGATACGGATTGTTTGACAACAGCATAAATATAGTTTAAGCTGCAGGATTTAGCTGTTATTGAGGGTTCTTCGTCTCACTCGTCCTGTCCAAGCATGTCACAAAGGACGTGGTATCAATTATCTCTTCAACAACAGCACGGCTGTTTCACTTTATTACTGTGTAACCAATGAAAAACCAGGTTGATATGATAAGAGTGGGACCACAGGTTAACACAACAGCACAGGTTTATAGACCAACCATCAATACACGACAATATATACACATTCTATCTGTTCTTCTATCAATCTTTTCTATACATATATGTAAATATATATACAGTAGATATATGTAAATATCCATCCATCCATCCATTTCCATCCGCTTATCCATTAGCGGGTCGCGGGGGCAGCAGTCTCCACCCAAATCACACTGCACCGTACCGACACCCCTGAACCTTCCTGTGGGTGGTGAGTCCACTGGAAGGTACCCCCGCCCTAACAGGGATTCGAACTTGCCCAGGAGGTGAACCCTGGGGTTCCACACCAATGACAGACATTGCCTCTGGGCCAAAGCGCCACTATATGTAAATATATATGTGTAAATGTATATATGTATATATATTTACATATGTACATATATACATATGTAAATATATTTACATATATACATTCTTATTTATTCTATATTGCTTATCTGTACTTTTTATACTCCGTTCTCATACATCCATCTGTCCATTTTACCAGTACAGTTTATACTGCTTATCTATACATTGAATACATATCGTTTTGCAGTTTATTATCGCTCAATATGTCAAAACATCATTGTTTTTTATTTTCTCTGTATGTAATGCTGCTGCTACACTGTAACTCCCCAGCCTGAGACCAATCTTGCTTTTGCTATTTCCTTGAGTATAACTGATAAACATGGTAAATGTACACGTGGTTCATTGTAGCTACGGTACAGATGTCTTATCAGTTTCACATATTTGATGGGATCAGTGACACTCAGCCTTTTGATGTCACCCAGAATGAATGAGAATTGAAGATATAAGCCATAATGCAGCGTCAGTTGATAGCGTTAGGACAGTCAATTCAGTCTTACCGTTTTGGAGAAGCCATTGGAGATGAAAACACTTCCGTTGGACATGGTGGACTGAGACTTCGAAGGCTCGTCAAACACAGAATCGTTGACAAAACCTGAAAAAAACAAAAAAATAAAAACAAACAGGTGTGAGAGTTATCAGCTGTTATCATAGACACTGTGGCGCTCGCACGCAAGATCTGAGACTCAGAGCGTGGTTAAAGACCAACAGTGAACACCATTGTAATGTATATGTATATATATAATTACATTAGAGATCTGTCTGTTCAAGGAACAGGAGTGCAGCATGAACCTGCTGCAGTAATCAGATTTAAGACATTTTCTCCATAGTTTTAGGATTTTAGGTTTCTGACATGCTAATTTACATCATCTGTTCCTGTATCTCTGGGGGGAAATGTTGATCTCTTCTTTATATTCTCAGATTTCTGAAATCAGACAGATTTCTGACTGAAACAAAAACAAAATCGCCAAGATGGCTGCTGTGAACCATTCCATAGAGATACTAGTGGATTTCCTACAGTATAACTGGCTGAGGATTCAATCTGATTGGTGAACACAGATCAATATCAGAAACAAATCTGTGCACCACAGTTTGCTTCATTGTCTGTTTAATCTTGTTTAATTAATTTCTGAAATTAATTCGATTAAAAATTGCACATTAAAGCACGGATTTTATTTCACTAAATCAACTGGATCTTTAAATCCCATTAACTCCCAGCATGTTTATTGAGGCTTCAACTTAAGGTCAGCGGCCCGGCTTGTGTTAGACCAGTCTGACTGAGATCAGGACAGTCTACATGAGTCTACAACTGACACAACAGTCAAATGGATTGTGTTCCATAGCAGGGAGTTAGAAGGTCGTCTCATGTGGCCCAAATAGGTTAGAAACTTCACTGCAGAGTTAAAACAGTTAACGTTTAGGTCAAATTTAAGAAATAGTCTGGTTTAAAACAAAAAAACAAAAAAAATCTCCGTCCAGTCTGTGGATCCTGCCCCCGTCTTTGAGATCAGCTGGTACATGGTATTATATGTACTAAAAATGTTAGTGTGTTGATTCTTTAATTAATCAACAGGTAACTAATTCTGGTCTGAAGAAACTGGACCAGACTTGTTGCTGTGTCCCTCTCACCTGTGGGGGACAGAGGACTGGACGGGATCCTGCTGCTGCTGGACGGTCTGGACCTGGTCCTGCGGATGGTCTGCACTTGTTCCAGGACTCGCTGTTGTCCAGACCTGCACTGGTGAAGAGATGGTACAGCCAGGGAGGTGTCGTCAATATTCCCGATGGAAATGACGGTTTTGAGCGGATCCAGACTCATCATCGTCAGCTTTTCTTTTTCCTGCCGACTTCTCCTGTGAGCTGCTGCAGGGAGACTCTGAAGTGCGTGTGTGTGCAGTAAGAGAATCGCACCTTGCCTGTGGACCGTCAGACCACGCCCATTTACAGGATAGACTCCGGTTCTGCACTCACTCACTCATTCCTGTCTTAACCGTGTGCACTTTCTCCAACAATCATATGCACAAGAGTCACCACGGAGGAGCAGGGGAGAGGATGAAGAGGAGGGAGAGGAGGACAATGAGAAGACAAAGTTAGAGAAGGAGGAACAGCCAAACCAAACAGGAAGCCATCAACCGAATGTACAAACAAAACAGAAAGAAAACACTATAAAATACTTTCTTAACGGACTTAACCCATGGGAGCAAACACTAGGGGTCGCACTTTCAAAATTGTAGGACTAAAATCCTTTTTTTGCCGAGTGACCTTTCCCTTACACAGTCATTACTGCTGACATGTCTCCATTAGGTAAATGTCTGTCACGCAAGTGCAAGTATACATTATTATGACGTTTTGTGTTTGTCAGCAGTGAGCATGTAGTGTCTTGTCCTAGCCTGTAGGAGGGGCTAAGTAGACTCTATATCTAAAATCACTTTTTTTCAATTTAAACTGATGAATTGTTTTATTTAACTGTCCAAGCTAGATAGCATGAAGCGTGTTAGCAGTTTAGAACCTAACATGATGTCTTATTTTTAGGCTAGCACAGGCTAACGGTGATGGTTTTAGGAGCATAAGTGACAGATTGGTCTCTTGTGGGTTGCACTGCTGTCAGTTTTACTCTCTGCATTAAATATTTCTTCTATAAAAAAATTCTTACTGCAACAGTAACAAAAAATAGCAAGAAATGTTCAGGAGGAAGAAACCATGAAATCAATGACCTGAAATTGGAGAAACGAGACAGGAACCGTACTGAATGTTCCGACTACAGGTATGAATGATATCTCAATTGTGTTGTCACTGGTGAAAAAAAAAAAATAGAAAAAAGAGCCACACCCAAGGCTGAGGCTGCCAAGACTGCTTACCTGTGTCAGCTTCTAGGTTTCACCTGGCAAATACTGGCTTCTCCTCCCTCATGCTTTGTTTTCCTTCTGCCAAAAAAAAAAAAAAAAAAAAAGAAGTTTGGGTATTGTTTGTCAAAAGCAACAGATTTACTTTATTTAAATAATAAATTATTTTACCACTCAGTGATCCTCTGGCTGCCCCCTGGTGGTTGCTGTGTAAATGTGATGTGTGTTTTAACCATTTGCCATCTTCTCACCTGTTACCACATCAGTCAGGACACGTGGGTTTTATTTATATTTATTATTGCTGTCACAAACTATATGCAGGTACAGCTGTTCTGGTGGAATGAAAGTCAGGCTTCTTCTTCTCAAAGTCTAAAGATCATAATAAAATCAACGCTGAAGCATTATTTCACATTATGACAAAATAATCTTTGTTAGCTGGGGCCAACGTGGAAATGAAATGGAACAACCGGGTTTTTTTCAGTCAAATCAGTGCACATCACAGCAAGGACTTCATTCTCTGCAGCTTTTCAAAAGCAAACAACATGAACAGATGTGTTGAAATAAAAAAAAGAGCAGAAAAACACTTTGTAGTATTAAAAAACTTTAGAATAAACTAGAATGGAAGTCTATTCTAGTTTATTATTCTCTAAAATATTAATATAATGCCAGGCAAAGAAAATAAATAAACCGTGATCTATATGTAAACTTCCAAACTAATGGAGTATTGGTTTGTTGTGTACAAACAGTATATTAGTATATTAATAATACTACTCTGCAGTATCACAGCCTGGACCCACTCTGGTTGTACGTGTTCAACTGCATTAGGTGAAAACAAAAATGGAAACGTAAGAGGTGATAAAGATCCTGGGATGATTCTAGTGGATGGAATGCTGTCGGACCTGAAGCTTAGAAACACATTGAGGGTCATATGCTTGTGACCTTTAAGTAAAAGCAGCAGTACAGACATGACTGACTGTCTGGGAAGCAATGTGTTTGCATAGAAGTTAATCCATTAGAATTAAAGCCACATGGAATAAAAAGAAATCTGTCCTTTTTAACCTGCAGGCTACTGTCAGCAACTCCACACCATAATTTAGTAATAAAAAAAAAATTAATAATTTACAGACTTTCTTTTCTAACTCAAAGACAAACATTTTTTGATTTCAAATCATTAAACTGTCATTTGTATAAAAGTATTTGTATTTGATGATTTGATACTATTAATGTTTCATATTATTTAGAATACATGTATTCATTTAAATTTGTAAATATACTTTGTATTATTAATTTAACTTTTTTTAAAATTACATCATATCATTATCATTACTATAACAACTCTGGTATTTTAATATAACTGAAATACAGTGTTAAATATTACAGTAGACTGCAATAATGTCAGACGTGAATTTAATTTTTGAAATCTGAAATCAGATGTCTGACTTTATTTCTAGGTCTGTAAAAATAAAATCCATGTGGCTCTAATCTAATATACGATGATCTACAGTAGGTCAAATTTATAAATGTATAAAAGAAAAGATAACGCATGTCAAGATTGTGTCAGGCATCGAAACTGTTCTTCATTTACCGCTAACTTCTGTGTTCCACAGTAAAAATCTACATTTCTACAGAAATGAGAAAAGAGAAAGATTATGGATTCTTAAATCTGACTTCGTCAGGCTTCGTTAAACTGAGGTCGCTCTGACTCTACTCCTCTGGTTCTACGGCACTAACCGCACTAAGACCTTCCGGAGGCTTCCTTTGTGAGTCCTGAGGCTGAGCCAGAGGAAACCCTCTCAGGTTCTCCTGCAGACTACCCACAGCCAGCCTCATCTGGTCTTCGGCCCCCTGCAGGGACTTCAGCTCCATGGTGTAGAAGATGTACAGCATGAAGGTGGTGAGCAAAATGGCGAAACACAGCGCCGCCAGCAGGTAGAAGGAGGTTAGGGGGAAAGGCTGCTCAGCTCCCAGGGCCAACCAGGGCACGGCAGCGATGGCAAGCTCCAGGATCAACAGAGCCAGACCCATAATTCCGGTGCGGGTGGCAGTAAAGCGCATCCTCTCGGCACAGTGAAGACCGACCTTGACTTCAGTGCGTGCTTCTGTCACGATGTCCACCAACTCAGCCACTCGTGCTGAAGAAGAGAAGTCAAAAATGGACAAACTGACTCTGACAAAAAGATGACTATGAATGCAGTCAACACCGAGGTACTAGGACTAGGGATGCACCGGCACAATACTGTTATCAGCATTGGGACGGATACTTAATTTAAATACTCATACTAGTACTGGACATAACAGCCTTGCATGGTAGGTTAAGCTGGTCAACTATGTCAGCTGTTTGACGGTATTTTACCATCAGAGACGAGCTTTTGTTGTGTGATAACAAGTAAACAATTTAAAGAACTAAAGATGAGCCTCAGCTTCAACCAACATGGTTGGGGTAAAAGCTCTGCTCACTTTCTGTTCAGATGGCTGTGTTTGAGGCCCAAAGTTTAGAAAGTCTGTTTTTCATTTCATTCATACATTTTAGAAAATGTGTTTTCATTTGGATTGAAATATTCTTCTGTGAAGTTAAATACCTGCGTTGGTATCCTTATCATCATAGTGCTGGTCTTTTCTTGTCTCCTGTGCCGCATGTTGCTCCAATCTGAGTTCAGAGGTCAGAGCCTCATGATCAGAATATGGGAAAGGATGATCAGGGATGGAGCCTTTGGTGGTGACCATGGAGTCACAATGAAGGTCTACTTTAGAGGAACCCTGTAAATAAGAGAATAAAAATGAAAAGAACAAGAAAATAAACCTCTGATCATGAAGAAACGCCAGCAGACTCAAAGAACTTCCACTCACTTTGAATAAGATGTAGTCAATTCTGATTCCTGTCTCAAAAGGAATGAGTTCCTTCTTATTGGTGAAAGGATTGTCAGCTATCAGAGTGACTCCACCTTCACAGCCCTGCAATGGAAAAAACCTCTGTTCATCATGACCACGAGAGAAAACGTTTCAGTCTCAACAGTGTGGTTTAGTAGTGTTGACATTCACATCTGTGGGTTGTAGTCTAATCTTCCTCAGTCTGAAAAAAAAAGACCTCCATTAGAAGGCAGTCTTCTATAACTGTTAGGTACCGCTGATAAAATTAAAAGCATACTACAAGATTTGTTGCTCTGGTTTACCCATGATTCTAAGTTGATCTGCACAGGCTGAGAACAGTCAGCCTGGTTTGTGGCATAGAAATCATTCAGGGTGTGAGGGGAATGGACCGAACTGGACCACAGTCCCAGCCAATCAAACACTTGAATATTTTAGCCAAATCTGGATGCAACCAGATCAGAAATGATTACTGACACAAATACTGATGCAAAACGCCAATGAAAAAAAAGAGTAGGAGACAGGAAGTAGCATCTAAGACTGATGGAACTCTGACAGGTCTACGATTGTCTACTGTATATAATGTTATATTGTCTTTAGTTGGTGAATAATGAATGATAAACTCAAACGCCAATGAGAACCCTCGCCGTCACAACAAACTGGACCTTAAAACACTGTACCACTTTTCAGTCAGTTTAAATACTTACATCAAATTTTTCAGTTTCTACATAGGAATCTCGAAGTCCGGTGTATGACCTCAGCAGTCTGGTTCCAAGGTCCTGAGGATGCATGTTGAGGTCACCACCTAGAATGACCAGGTCTGCTCCAACCGACGTGTGTCTGATGTACACAAACACATTGTTGTCAAGTAAACCTCACAAAAATAAAATCAGTAAAAAGAGTAAATACTACGACAACTGGCTTCAGACAGACCAGAGGGGCACCAGTGCTGGGCTTTGCAGCGTTTGGTACCAGGTAGCAGAGAAACAAAAATACCATTATTTTTTTAGCACTGCAGAAGTGATTTAAATTTGAAAAAAATAAAATCTGTCCAAAACTGAACAAATGTTGAGAAAGAAAAAAGAGTTTCCTTTAAATAGAATAGAAGAACAGAGTAGATCAGCCTTTAGGTGAAGGTTGTATTTCCAGTCACAGATCCATCAACACAGTTGACTCACATCATGGTGATACAGCTCAGGTCAACATGAGTAAACCCCAGTAACACAGGTGCAGAATGAAAAAGAAAATCACCTGACAAACTTCTGCAGCTCCCAGGCCTGAACCACCCTGTGAGGTAGATACGAGTCCTTCTCTCTGCAGTATTCTGCATGCAGCTGAAATCAGGGCACGAAGACAGAATCGGTCACTTGGACGGACCCTTGGATCCAGTGGTTCTCTGTCTTCCTTTTTGTGTGTTTCAGAGCTCGAGGTTGTGTCACAACATTAGCTTTTCCAAATATAGGAAGTAGAATTCTTACATGTGTGACGTAGACATGAGCGGTCAGACCTCTGATGTTTACAACAGCCATCCCCACAGCTTTACCACCAAACCAGTCTCCATGGTGGGCCTAAACATTAGGGACAGAAACAGTCAACCACAGGACAAAGAGGCCTCAGAGACGATTGGACATGTTTTATATTATGAGTGAAAACCCACTGGAACAACAACAACCTTTAGAGGGGGCATATTAGGCTACTAGATGTTAATATGCTTCCCTGAGATTTAAATGTGACATGCTTTGGTAAAAGAAAAAAAAAAACTTTATACACATGTTTATTAGCTGTGCTCTGAACGGGGGGTTTATGTGCCACTTCTATCAAACAGTAATGAGCCACTGTGTGGTGAGTGAAGACCTGTTGAGCAGTGAGAGAGAAAACAGCTGGCTAACCACAAACTGAGGTCCAAATGTACATGTTTGATCCAGAGTCAGAAGAAAAGACAGGAGTAGAGTGAGAAGAAAAAGGGTCAGAAGAAGAGTCAGTAGAAGAAAAGTCAAAGCATCAAAGAAATCAGAAAAAGAGACAGAAGAGAAGTCAGAAGAAGAAGTGTAGAGTCAATAATGAACCTGTAGGAACCTAGTAGTTAACTTTATTACTTCAACATCACTTTGGTGTTCTTAATAACCTAACCAAATTGCACATCTTTACAGACTGTCGCCCCCCAGTGTTGTTTCATAAGACAACTGAATTCCAGAGCCTCAAGGGTTTACATAATACAGTTGTTGTTCAGTTATAGCTGTTCTCCTTGAGCAGCTGTGATTAGCCTTTGTATTGTACATGATCATAATCCATTAGTACTGTCTGGATAAAGAAGATGACAGATCATTACACAGGTGTGGAAGTGCAGGGGTGTGGTTGGGGGACATTTCTGCTGTGTTGGAGTTTGAGACTCACCATGTAGGGATAGCCGTTGAGTGAGAAGCGATAAAGAAATGTGTCATGGATTCGGTGTTTGGAGAACAGGGCCAGGCCACTTCCTATGACTCCACTGCAGAGGTAAGAAGGTAGATTCAATATGTGAGCAGGCTGTCATGCTAACCCATGGTAGCATACAGCACATTTGTGCACACTACAAGACAGATTAGGAGAACAAGGCCCTGGAGTAGTCTGGCTCCAGTGAATGGTGGAGAGGTCAGAGGTCAGAGAGAGAATGAAAGAGTTAATCCTGAAGGCAGTGCTTCAGCTTAAGTTTAACTTCAAAAAGAGTTTTATTTAGGGCTCTTTCAAAGACAGGACAAACATTTAAAGATGTTTTGTTGATAACAAGAGTGTTTAAGTGAAGAGAAATGAAAGCTTTACCTTTTGAAGTAACTTGAGTGCGGGTGGCTGCAGGAGAGTTTCTTTTTCAGGAACAGGAAGTCCTTCTCACTCCACACCTTCAAAAAGAAAAATCTCTCAGCATATCAATGTAAAAAAAAAAAGTACACGCTGTGCAACGGTTTGTTTTCTGAATCAAACATGCTGATGCTGATTCAAGAAAAGCAGCACGACAGGGTTTTAATTAACTGTTATTTTTTCTCTTTATTTTCAATCTGTTGTCATGACCTAACGTTAACACAGAATGTATGTTCAGGACAAAAAAGACGTTAGCATTGCAGCAGATACACACAACCACAGTCAACTTACAGTGAAACAACAAAAAGAGTAATTAAAAAAAAAAAATATATATATTTATATGTATATGTATATATATAAGATATATATATATATATATATATATACATTTGAAGAAATTATACTTGACACTCCAAAGCTACGTTATTGTAGTCTTGATCAATATAAATATAGTTTTGATCAATAACGGCAGAGGTAACAACATCTGGATATTACAGTTTATACTGCATATTAAATCATGATTTTATTTACTTTACTTACATGTTTTCAGCATTTTTAACAATATTTGAACATTACAGTTTCAGTAATTTGAATTCAAAAGAAAGGTAAAACATGAACTTTGTTGTTTTTTATTTACAATATATTCAATGTGTTTTCAGATCCAATGAGTAAATGATGCCAATAATTGTGACCAAAATAATCATGATCTTGACAATCAAGCATTTGTACTATGTATACCTGTGTACAACTGTGTATAACTTACAAATAAAACCCTTTAATAGTACTGACTTACAATACACTTCTTACATCCTGTCTAAGAGGTCATTGGTCATTGTTTTTTTTATTTTGAGAATTATTAATTTAAAACTAAAACTGCACAGAAGAAAAATAAATTTAAACTTTCAGGAAACGGCTCAGGGCAAAGTTCTTGTAACTCGATGCCACTGTCTTCAGTTTGATAGTTTTGAGATAGCAGTGCAACACTCACCTCTTGCAACAGGACAATATCGTGTTCTTCTTTACACAACATGTCTCCAATCATAGTGTAGCGCTGCCCACACTGTTTACTGAGGACACGAATCCCCCTGAAGAGAAAAAAAAAAAATATATACATATGTATAATATTTTTACAGACACTGAAGGTTCACTGTAAAAATGATGAAATGCAGTCACTCACCAGCAGTTCAGGGAGAAAACACGAATTCTGACAGAGTCTGTGTTTGCCATGATTGCAGATGAACGAGCAGTGGAAGTGCGGAGAAAGTTTCAGGCGAACAATGATAGGTCATGTGCCTCTGCACCTGATAAGAGATGTAAAAATAACCGCTGATTAAAAAAATATATTTTAGCATGTCATGTTGGTCAGAAACGACATGTCTATGAGCACAAACACTGGAATAAAGGAGAAGTGAATTTGCAATGTAAAGCAGTTAACAGCAGCAACCTCCGGAAGAGGCGAGAGAAGAGAGAGAAGCTCCATGTCAGGAGTTTAAGGGATAACAGGCTTTAAAAATGCTGCAAAGCATGGAAGAAAATAAAATAAAATGGGAGGATGAAAACAAAAACAATGTCAAAAAAAATGAAGGAAACAATGAAGGAGGAATTATATGTTGATGAAGAAAAACAAAAAGCTCTGTGGACTGCAAAAAGAATTATATTAATTACAATGTTATAGGAATTAGCATTAGGATTACTGTTAAAGTGTTGTTTGTAAATAACATCCTCTCACTATTCTGTGAAACAATAAGACCCACTTGTACAATAGGTCTGACCCAAACTGTAGGTTTGACCCTAACTGTAGGTCTAACATTCACTGGGTCCCACAGCAGGGAAACATGCTTCAAAACAGAGTCAAAGTCAAAGGCAGCTGCATTCCCTCCATCTCTCCTAGGAGAGCAACAAAATACCAGCTCCAAACAATGTGCTGACACGGCTCTGCTCAGCACTTTGTATGGACCTGTCTGCAGAGGAAACAGGGAAACAACAAGTTGTTGTTTCCCTGTTTCCCCATGTTGGCTTTGGTTTGACTTGCCATGGTTGTTTGGAAACGATTCAGAACAGTTTGGAGTTTTGTAGTTGACCACAGTAGACCAGCACCGTATATACAGTATATATACACAATATATATACACAATATATATATATATATATATATATATATATATATGACTTATATATATGACAACCCATATAGTCAAGTAGTTCTAAAAACAGATAAATGAAAAGCTGAAGGTGCGAGTAGAAGAACATATGTGAACAAACTGATTATACAGTCTGTAAAGTTATTAAAGTACTACATTACAGTGTGTCAATTACATCTTTGCCAAAAAAATCATATAATATAAAATATAATTCAGGGAGCCCTAGGTGGATTTCCCTTGTATATTTCAAAGTATATTAAGTTTAATTAATTATTCTCCCTGACTGTGTTCAAATCTTCATTTCAGATTAGAACTAATGTGTTCATCATTCGTTTTTTAAATCCTCTCTATAAATAAAATGGGTCTCTTCCCTGTGAAGGATATGGTCTGCATCCGACACTTGAAACACTGCCGAGTCCTTGTCACATCCTTTTACTGGAGACAAACGTTTTGTAGTGTTGTCAACAATAGAAGAAGGGAGGTAGTAATTAGGATTCATCCTGTTTTGTTTTGCTTTATGCAAGTCGTGCCATTATAGGAAGTAACTCTCCGTTTAATGAAGATGACTTAAACCTCTGTAAAAATTAACTAAAAAACAGATAATAACAAACTACTGCTCCATCGATAACGTAGGTGCTAATAAGAACATCGGTGAAAGTTGATCAAATACTTTTATCAGTTATAATTTCAATACAACCAAGCGTGACCCCGGCTTAAATTTCCTGTTAACGTCATAATTTATTAAACCAGTTAATTAAACTCACCTCGTTAACCTGCTGACTCGGCTGAACTTAACCGTCGGCCAATGAATAAAACATTCACCGCCGCAGTTTGACCGTAGGCTTGGACCCGGACTCACTTCCTTGCTAAAAATTACTCTAGATTCTAATTACGTTATAGCAGCAGAACACACAGGCAACATTGACTATCAATACCACACTTCAGCGGTGTTGGGTCACTTTATTGGGACGTGCCCTCCCTTCATCGCTGACATGGATCTTTGATAAAAACCCAGCGTGTGGTGCTGTCCAGTCTGATGGGATATAAATAAAAAAGTAATTCGGACAGCATCCGGTCGATTGTTTCCTTCAAAATAAACTATAAAGTTTCAGCAGCGGAATAAATATTTTACTTATATCCTTAATATTTTATTTAGACCCCTTTTATTCTGCTTATTGACGTTATACAAAACGTTATTCCAATATATGAATAATGTAAAACATCATTCAACAGTGTTTTCATATCAGTTCTTATTTATAAACAAATACTTTGAAATCGTTTTTCCGCTTTACCGCCTACATCCGCCACAATGACTTCTGAAATGGGAAGTTATAACAAGTAAACGTTTGCGGGATTAGAAACGATTAAACTTACTCCAAGAAAGTACCAATAACATTTGTAATGAAATTTGTATGATTAAGATACGATTTAAAATGATACATCTCAATTACGTTATATTGCGAAGCATTACCTGGCGGCACGTAGATAATCGGTGAACCTGTCTTCTGCGAGAAACGCCAATAAAACTATTTCTCACAAGCCCTAAGAAGCCACACAGCGAATGTTAGGATAAATAAATATCTACTTTTAAAAAAAAAAAAAAAAAAAGGTATTATACTACAAATTGAACTGGTAGTCACTCAATTACCTAAATAATTTGAATCAACATAAATTTATACAAGATAGAAATTGGCCAAAACAATTGAACCAAATATCATTTATATATAATATGTTATTATATATAAGATTAATGAGAATATATTTCTTAACCCAACGTGGTATTAAAATAGTTAAATACTTAGGTAAATATGTAAATACAATCTATATTAATAACTATTATTATGATATTATTTTACTTAATATAATTTTCACTTGTGAGTTCTGTAACATTTTACTGTAATAACAGTGCACAGTGTTTTTCATTTAGGTTCCTAAAATGTACAGCTACACAGTACACAACACGAATATTTATTCCTTATAAGACCATGATCGTATTTATCAAAGTCACACTGTAGTACTATCTGGCTTCTATATTCAGTTGTTAAACCACATACGTAAGTAAGTGACCAACTCATAGGAATCAGATTTTCCTACATGCCGCCAGAGGAAGCCCAAGAAGAATTAGTGCCATAGAAAATAACTGACTAAAAAGCTCATGACAACATGTTATGTTAACATTTCATAAGGCTACGTATTAAACACATCACGATCATCATAAAAGAAAAGCCGTGGACCAAACTAATTTACAAACACGTTTAATACATTTTTCAGGAGGAGGGGGGTGGCCCCAAAGGTACCATGCGTCTATGATTGTTAGATATATTTGTTTGATTATATAGTCCAACCTCTACTTTGAAGTATAAAATTGCAATGCACAATGGTAACAAAGACAATATTAAACCACCGTAAACCAAAAAAAATAAACAAACAAAACAAAAAATACCCACACCATTCAGAATATGATACATTAGATATCTCACTATTATTTTCCAATATCAGCACAGTCACACAATATTTTTTCAGTGGAGCAAATGGCAAACACTGAAAGTCAAAAAAGCCAACAAAACAACAGTCTTGATAATAAAGAAAACATCTGTATAATAGATAAACTGAGACACCGGCTACAGGAGTGTTGTTGTTCTTGTATGGTGAAATATGACATTCAAGGCCAGTTGCAATTATTATTCCAAGGTACAATTTGTGTTTGTCTAGCACGATCGTACAGTAAACTACGTAGAGCTCCCCCAGTGACTGTCAGGATCCCGGGGATAACAGTCTATACGGTCTCTACTTCAGGTCCTGCAATACTTTTAACATCTCCACCACTGTGGACGATGAATAACACACCTCCTGAACCCCACCTCCCCCCCACTACATTTGAACCAACCCCATAAATAACAATCAATGGTCATGCTCCCCAGCACAGAGACACTAGCGGTCGCTCCAATGCTGTTGAGCTTGAGTCCAACATTATTTACCTTTAGTGTTTTGTCGCTCAACAAATGTCTCAAATAGCCATACGTTTTTTAAATGAATGCAGTTTCTCCACGTATCACACAGAGAAGGGCAGAGCAAACGAGCCATCTTCACAGCATACAATCTCTTTTTTAAACAAAAGAAACAGTGATTTACTTCTCACTTTTAGCCATGGTCTTGAGTTGAGTGCTGAGTTAAATGATCACAAATATGAACATTAATTTTCTCCCTCAGAATAAAATACTCCTATGTAACACATATTCCTTTAGCATCCAATGACTCACAGTACAGAAAAAAAAAATATTAGGCTACATAACTCAAGGCAGAAATAAGCACTGCTGTTGATTCAACCCCAATTTCTGGATCTTTTAAGTGCAACCGAGCACGCGTCTTCAGAGAATAAAAACCTTGGGGATCTCGTAAGGACGTTAAAGCCTTGGCTCCACGTCAGGCTACGAATGACACAAGGCATCCTTAGTGTCAAAAGGAAGTTAAAGATAGATGCTTGTAAGACCTGACTTTGTTTAATATCACAAACCTGTATGAAAACACTAGGAAAAAAAAACAGTTTAAAAATACGGTAACACTAAAAACCTTCTCCTTGTACACTGTAAAAGCACTTTGTGTAAAACGACAAGCGACATGAAAAATTAGTCATCACATCCCGTTCCTGTGTGCCCAAATACAAAAACTGCCTTAGAATACTCAAATCTAATTCCAATCTTCCTTTTTTTCTTACAAAATACAACTTTGTAACTGTTTAAATTTTATTCAAAAACAAGAGGTAGTAATAAAAGGCAATCCAAGGTGGCAGGCAACGATAAAGATCTTTGGAGAAAAGGCACTTGCTTTCCTGACAAACCTACTGCAATGTCACTTGTTTCTGGTTTCCACTCGTCAGCAGTTCTCTCTCTCTTAACTTTAACTCTCTCTCTCTCTCTTTCTAGCACGCCCATTTGTTTCTATCACTCAGAGTGTGTTCATAGATACTATCCAGCTCCCCAAAAACATTCTTTATCCCTCAACGAAACGTTTGTAAATCCATCAAATACCTTGTCTGAAGTGACCCACTTCATCTATAGCATGTTTAAACACATGAACAGTGTTGTTATTATTATTAATGAATAAAAAAGGTGTTTCTTCAGATATTTCTCTGCACGTCAGCACGCTGAGATCCACTCGTTTTCTTCGGGTGTGAAAAGCGTGAACTCTGTAGGTTTTTTGACCTAGAGTTGTTTCAGTGTTTACTCTCTGGTTCTTTCTGTCCTGGATGGTGCAGCTGGCTGAAGAGACAGATTGTACCATGCTGTCACGTGGCTTTTCCAAAAAAAAAAAAAAAGAAAAAGAAAGAAACATTCTGCAGAGCAGTTAGTCTTTAACAAGTCTGTAGACGTGATACTGCGCTCCGTGTTCGCTGGTGGAAACCTCAAACACGAAAGCTATACAGAGCAGAGTCTCCTGGGTGTCACGGTTCGTCACCACCTGGAAAAAGTAGAATAAAAAATTAGGAACAATGTACGATGGAGTAGAGTAAAAGTGCCACATCAAGGATTTAAAATAATAAATAGAAATTACTAATGCAACCTTAAACCTAGTTGTAAAGGTATATATTTATAAGCATAAAGTCAAAAACGTTCCCATATATCAGTCATAGTAAACATAGAATAGATCGGAGAGGTTCCTGTTACCTGGAGGATAGTGAAGTTTTCAAGAACGCTGTTCATCATGTACTTTTCAGGTAGGTGTTTCAGTTTGTGGATAAAGTTGATCATGTATTCACACATTGGAGAACGGTGGATTCTGTAAACACACTTTCCTCCCTCCAAACGGGCGTACTCTGTCTGCAACACACACACACACACACAGGATGGTCAAAATCCTCTGGTTGTGACTTTAAGCCTCAGCTCCGGTCGGTCCTCAGTGCTGCTTTACCTCCACTTTCTCCACCACCTGCTTTCCAAACGAACAGACTTTGGTTGAAACAGTGATCGTCATGTTCTCAGTGCTGCTGTACTGGCTACTGACGCCATAAAAAGAACCAGGGCCATCCTGCATCCCGCTGCTGTTCAGGTCCGCCTGCAGGGGGCACATGACTTTAATACTTAAAATAAAGTCCTTGAACCAAAATATTGTCTGTGTCAAAAACATTGAACAGTTTTAAAGGCAGCTTTTAGTGGTCAGTATGTTAAATTATTTTATGCTGAGTAATCAGTGGCAGCAATGTTTGTTTTTTCATCTCTGTATGCACTGGTCTCTAAAGTGGGGGTGCCTCCCCCCGGGGGACAGACCAAACACAGAAGGTCAGTGCAGAGGAAAGCTGCAATGATTTGTTGAATCATTTTCTTTGTTCAAGTTAAAAACTTTTTTAAAAAAGTCCAACTGTGATTCAAAGCAAAAGCTGTGAATATGTCCCCATCTACAATCTACAGAGGGGAGCGCTGTAGGAAAAGTTTGGGAACTACTGTCCGACTAAAAGCAAGATACTGACAATTGTAGCCACCCACCCAAAATTTAACAAGGAAGAATGCATTCTGAGGCCCTTTCTCATAAAGTTCCTTGAGTCCGCCCTTCTTTTCAGGGAACTTGTCGTAGATCTGCCGGATGTCCACGGCCTCCAAGAGTGGGTCACTGTAGGAGGGGTTGGTCTGTCCAATATGGACAAACAGATGTTTGCTGTACTGCATTGGACAGAGACAGAGAGACATGGAGTTATTATACATATTAATGCACATAGAAGTCAAAGGTGCTCAAACTTAAATGATGGTAAATTATGGTGCAACATTGGAAATTAAGTATAAAAACTCCTTAACAATGTCTGCAGAGCATAAAGAAATTGCGATTAATTTGTGATTAGTGATGAGTTCATTTTTTTTTATTATTTCTACAATGAATCATACCGAAATAGTTTTATTGACTGCTCCTTATGTTGAACACAGTGAATGTCCTATGGTGATGAAAACCATGATTTGTCTTACGAAGTAATGAGAACTGATGAGAACCACAGCAGTATTATAATAAATGTTAATGATTTTCATCCTCAGACCACCTTGATTAATCTGGTCATTCAGCATATACAGTAGTAACTGAGACCCCAGACTTACATTGTCGGGGTCTCTCTGCACCTCCATGAAGGCTGAGTACTCCAACATCCTCAGCTTAGATGAAGCGATGGTGCGGTCCTGCCACACGGGCACTGCAGTGGCAGACGGTGCAGGTGGAGGAGCCAAGGGCTCGTAACCTGATCATTGCAAATACACAGACACAGACAATAAAAAACAACGTGACCACAAAACAAGTTTTCATATAATTATGAAAAAGGATTACGTACTTGGTATGGACTGTGGAACAGGACCCGACAGGCTTGGGTATGGTGGCTGTGCAAAAGGTTTAATACTGAAAAAGATTGGAGAATGTGTTGAGTCAAAAGACACATTTGGGGAAAGAAAAGGAGAAAAAACAGGATAATCTGATGTTTCAGGCCGTGTTGATCTGAAACTATTTGTATAAACTACTAGTTTAAATCATTCGTCTCATTATAAACAGAGGTTAAAGATGTGTTGCTGCACCAACGAGGCGTAAGTCCACCTGCTTAGTCACTGATTCATGATGCAAATCAAGCATCAGCTGTGAAGGTCAACACAATATTTTTTTTTTCTGTGATCTCAAAGCATCGTTAATCCAGAAAATTCTCAATCAAAATGCGAAGCAGATGTTTTGCATGGTGGTGGTTTAGATCAGTGCTGGAAACATACAGTAGAGTGCAGTGTAGAACAGTTAGTACTGCTTTGTGCTCATGGGTGGAGCTTAGACTAAGTGGAACTTACGCATGGCTGGTGCGGACAAGCCCAGGAGTCCTTCCCGGGTTGAGATCTAGAACCAGCCTGGTGTGCGAAAATGCGGTTTGTTATTCAATACCCACCTGACATTAAACCGAATCCTGACACTCACTTTTCTCATTTATGCATTTTCTCATCCTTTATGACAATATGTGTCCAGAAGAGGGCGTATACTTACTCCTGAGACGGTCCAGGCTGTCCTGGAATTGGAGCAGGCCAGAACTGCAGATTAAACAGAATCCGTCAGTAGTTGCGTTTAAATAATAATAATAATAATAAAAAAAACAGAATTTGTGTTTTCTGCTTCAAGTCCTTGTACAAAAGAGAAGGGGTCTCACTCTTGGGGGCTGGTAAGGGGCAGGAGGCAGCGGAGGAAGGTGATTCTTTATTATACTAGGTGAGACAATCTGTGCAGAAGACAGAGCTGCCATGTTCTGGAGGGCTTTGTCTTTAGATGCCTGATCCTGGAAATCAGCAAAGAGAGCCGAGTTGTCAACCACAAGGTGGCAGCACAATACCAATACATACCTAATTCACATTATGGCCAGATTTCTTTTAAAAATTTTTTTTTTCAATCACTTTAAGTAAAAAATGAAAATCATTGAAGTCAAAATAAATATATAAAATTGCACAGCAGCAATTGAAGTGAAGCAAAGGCCAAAGGAGAGAGGAGAAAATGAAGCAGCGACGCCCTGCTGTTGTTAAAGTTTGGAAGACAAGACAATCTGTTAAGTTTCACAGTAAGTTTAGGTTTAATACAAAGAAAGAGAAAGAAAAAACAAATCAACAGAATGAAGGGAGTGTGCTGGCTGGCTGTTGCATCCGAGTCATTACCACATTAGACTTTTGTGACACTGATAAACAAACAATAACACATTAGACTTTTGTGACACTGATAAAATTTCTGTCATCAGCAGAAGCATGACACACAAACCAGTTTATGTCTTTGGTGCATGACAAAAAACCTTCTATTGTTCACAAACTCATGAATGCTGGATACTCTGAATGTCTGAAACGTCATCAAATGCATTCTGTTTTTTGTTTTTTTTCTTTAAACGAATGCATTTTTAGCTGACACAGTGATTGTTCTTTGATTGAAAAGTGAGACCAAACCCAAATCAAAGAGCGACACCTTGTGCAAAGCAAGCGAGTGGCTTTGGGCAGAGGTCAGGGGGAGGTGGGGGGAGGGCGGTCATTCTAGATCAGGCAGGATGTGCAGCAGTGCCAGGTTCAAAGACTGCTTCCTGTGAATTGCTTTAATATGGGAGAGCGATGGGGTGAAGGGCCATGCCAGCAGAGGGCCACAGCAAGGGGACAGTGCACTGATGCTGCCAAACACAGGGGAGCAGGGAAGCATATGGCACAAGTCGGAATCACTTACCAAATTCATTGCCTGAATCAAGAGAAAGAAAAACCATTAGTGCTTTGCAGTTCTAAGGATGTGCCAGCATTAGTTGAGAATTTTGTGTGTAAATACAACTTTTTTCTCCTTTACACTACTGCAAGCCACAAATAATCATTTGCATGTTTTCATTGGGGAATAAAAACATATACATTACTAATTATATTTTAATGAGTTGCCATGATGTGGGTCTTAATGATTCAACCATTTCAAAAGAATTAAAACATATATGCAAACGACCATTTCTGTGACTTCAAAGAGAAACCTCAAAAGATATATTACAACTACTTGACAGATGTGTCTGATGAGGTTTTCTTTATATTTTATATTTGTTTATCCCATACAGCAGTTTAACCTCATTATTACAGGCAAATTAGTCAAAAAATAATTAAAATAAATAATTAGAGAAACAAAGCCGGAGTAAGTTAAGCACTGTATATTCCATTGGTGACCATGTTTGAAAAAACAAATTATGTGTAAAAATGAAAAAGCTTCAAGAAGTGCAAACACTCAATATCGTCACAGCAAGAGCTGCTTTTTAATAAATGTCTAATTTGTAAGGTTCTCTGTTCCCAGGCCTTTTCATTGATTAAGGAACCTTCCAGAACTTGTCTGTCTGACCCAGCTTCCTAAAGGGCTCTAGCAACTAAATGAAAAAACAACATAAGCTACAACTGGACCTTGAATAAAATGACCGAAAAAATAAGACACTCAAGACACTCATGGAAGCAGTTAGCAGTAAGAGTGACACTGTGTCTCCAGTGTGGACACATCTGTAGGGTGGACACTCGATAGTTTATGGGCCGCTAAGGTCAATCACTAAGCCTGATGAAACTGGAGATACGGGGATTAACACAGTGAGAACAATCACAGATTGGTCTGAAATGACCTTTATTTACAGGAACAGACATGAGTTACAGAAGAACTTGAGGTAGCAGCTAAAGTCAGGGAGAGTTTTAGAAAAAAAGACGCAGTCTTGGAGCAGTAGAGGGTGCTGCAGTAGCAAGGCTGGCTCAGACGACAGACACAGAGCTGGAGCATCATGCAGCTGAACAATCCTTCGCTAGGCTACCTAACTAACTAGCCTGTGTAAACCTTAAGACAAGCTAATGCATCTGAGATAACAGCTGCACTGTCCAAAACCTTAAGATACAAGCTAATGCATCTGAGATAACAGCTGATGCAGCTCAGACATAAACTAGTTCATAATCAAAAGCTTCTACTGGTGTGGTGGTGGTGTGCACAGCATGCATAGCGTTTTTGTTAAGTCTTTTCAAATGAGCAGGTATATGTCATACATTTTAATGTTTTTATCGCCAGGCTTGCATCTACCTTTGCAGCACAAACTGGCTTGGTGTCAATGCAAGAGCAGGTAACGGGTTATAGCAAAGCCAAGCCTGCACAAGCCCCGCCAACCCGCCGTGAAGCGCATACCTTTAGCTTTGACTGGATCTCGCGAGATTTTCTCCGGGCGAGAACCTGCAAGTGGCTAGAAACCTGCACAGAAGAATAGCCAAGAGAAGGGAAGAGGAAAAAGGAGACAGGGAGAGAAAGGAACAGGGAAGAAGAGAAAAGCCGTAACCAAGGAGGAAAGAGACGCTGAGTCAGTGTCGCCAGGAGGCTGGCAGCCGGCACCTACCTTTATACCCGCCTGGTACTCGCGAACTTTCTTCCGTGCTAACACCTGTATGTGACTAGACACCTGAAGGAGTGTGAAACAGTTTTTGAGCAAAACAACAACACTCGCACAGATACATGCACACTCACATGTCCACACACACAGACATGGATGTACCAGACACAGTCTCTATCTCAGCCAGGACAACTTACAAGACAGTCAGACATCTTTAATCCTGACGGACTGATATGAACTTCTCAAGAACCATTAGGTTTGTTCTTTCTTTGCTTTGTTGCATTTTCTTCCAAAATCATACAGAACTACAGTATTGTTATTTGCATTATAAAATGCACAATTTCACCTAACAGTAAATGCATGTTTTGGGGGCATTAAACTTCTATTTTGAGATGAACTTTTTTATCATAGTATGTCATTTTTGTCTATTTTCGACACCCCCATAAAATGTTTTTTTTTGTTCTTTTTAGCACATATGGTGATGACACCCCCATAAAATGTTTTTGTTCTTTTTAGCACATATGGTGAACATATTGGGGCATTAACATGTATTTGGAGGTGTTTATGGCAATTTTTACTTTATTGTAAAACTGTAATCTATTGCTCAAAAGTAATAGTTATTTCTGTTTTTCCTCCCCAATATAAAGCACTATTTTATTGGTAGTTTGAGCACAACGCATAGATTATCTGGTTACAAATTTTTTGAAATTGTTCTTTTTATTTTGTGGTGTTTTTGGTAATTTCTATAGTTTGGATAATGGATAATGTCACCAAGTTGTCCACTGCTTGAACTACAACTGAACATTTAATGGCAAGCATTTCAAAACGTGAGACAATCTCTGGAGATTAGAGGTTTAAATTCCTCACAAAGAAAGTGATAAGTATATCCACACATACACACATGCACACACACGCACACGTACACACATGTACACACACACTTAAGGGCTTTCCATTAAATCAATAATTACAACTATAACATGCTACATAAAGTATTTAATAGTCATCTGCAATCTTCAGTTAAGCCCCTGACTAACATCAGGGCTGCAGTACTGGCTTAGGAAGTACTGTAATATTACACGGACAGTAAACAACTATTTTACAATATAGATTCATTAGTATATAATTAAATGTATTTAGCTCACGTTTTCCTCTCAAACACTGCGTCAGGTCTTTTTCTATGGAACTTTTGTAACAAAACCTAAAGTAAATCACACGTGGCACAAAAGTGGCCGCCACAGCTGACTGGATCGTCCAATAGGAGTTCAGTATTAGTGCTGAGTTTACCGACTTACACGCTTAGAACCTCAATGGTCGCCCATGTTTGATCTTTATCATCCATTTCTTTCATAGAATTTCAGTTTGGGAACAAAAAAACGCCTTTATGTGACTATGTTAAAAACATCGTTTGGAAAAAATAATGTTTATAAAAGCAAAAACAAGACCAAAAGTAATTGAAGTGACTGGTTCCAACTGGTTCTGTCAATATTAAAACTGTCAGGACCAAAAACTTTGCTGTTTTATTATGTGACGATTGAACTCCAGATAAAGATAGAATCATGGTAAAAAGTCATGTCATCTGTTGACTTTTGTAATCTGCATATGTTTTTAGCTTGACGATTAGATCTGATGAGATTTTACAGAATAATTTCACCTCTAGTAAAGTGTTTTGGTGACGGGTTGTTGAGCTCCAACTACAGATAGGACCGATTTAATGATCAAATGAAAATGTATGAATCATGTTTACCTGTTTTCTCGTCCTGGTTTTGCCTGTCCTCAACTTGATGTAGCGTGCAATCAATTCATTGCGACCTGCATGACAAAAAAACAGGGAGCAAGGTCATTTTATGAGACCAGGAAACAACAAGGTATTTCAGGTTTACTGACTAAAACTGGACAGAAGGTGGCATTCTTGTTCAAACGTAAACCGATGTTTTGTCAGGACAAGAGCAACATGAACTTTCCCAGAGCTTCTGAGAGTTGGGGGCAAACACTCTTTTACTAGAGTTCACAGGTCACGGTCACACCTATGTTTCCTATTGAAGATGTGCACATTTAGGTTTTTTCTCTTATTCAATGCGAGGCCTGAACGGAGAGGCTGATTCTCTCGTTTTCATTATCTCGTTTCACATCTCCTTAATGTGTGCTCACATGGGCCTGCAGCCTAATTACAGAGGGTGCTTAGAAAACAGAACCATGTTTTTCATGACATCACATCTACTCTCAACATTCTGCACAAACAGGTTGTGCAGAGAACAGACTTCTATTCTGGGCTTCTTGGTCCCCATTCAGCAGAGCTTAAAGCAAGTCTGCTGCCATATTAGCGGAGGCAGAAAGAGAGCAGGAATCATCCCGACTGTATAAAAGGTCAAAACAAACTTCACTCGATCCATCTTTTTGACTTTCTCCGTGTTGCCAAATCACGCTAACTGAGTTTCTGTGGAAGAAAATTGGTCAGGAGGGAGAGGCTGAACCACTGTGTCATTATAAATAATGGCCCAACTCCTCTAAAGTTGCTGACAGAAATTTTCCCAGCAAAAAAACTGGTCAAGATGTGCTTTCCTGAGCACACACACAACAGACTGTCCAGGAAGTCTCAAATTGAACAGCTCTCAGGGCATAAAGACACATAATGACAGGAGAAATAACTCCCGTTTGTCCACACACTCTTTGGCATTTAGCTTCCAGAAGGCCCTCGGTGCAATTACCATAAAAGTACTGCCGGCCATCTCCAGCTAGCTGACTGCATCTGCTGTACTCTCAAACCAGTCAGCCCGGCGGTCAGCCAGCAGAGCAGAGCACAACTGTCTGCCGATACTGAGGTAGCCCCTCCCCTTCTGCCCAGGGCCAAGGATGGACACGCCCGCTCCAGCGCCTCCGCATTCCTAGCATTCCTCTGAGCCTGTCACATCTGTGCTAGCCAGTCTGATTGGCCTAGGCCTGCAAACACAGCCAGAGCATAAGCTAACACACACACACACACACACAGCACACACACAGCACACATGCTCACATGCACTTCCAGACCTGGGAGAAGCAAGGGTTACAGAGCTGGGCTTAGGGCCATTGGGTTAGGGTAGGGGGTCGTCAGTCAGAGGGGCAAGAGGGGCAGCTGTTGCAGTAACTCTTAGAAGAAACACAAAGCCATAACTGACTCTGAGGCAACTGCCACCTGGCAGCAAAACAGCCCCTTTTCCCAAAACAACACCACTGTGTGACTCCACATTCAACAGAGATCAGCACCTGCTGCTGACCATCCCACCAGAGGATGGCAGAGGAAAACAATGCCAATTCTACCCCCACCCAACTGTCAGTCTCAATCTCCACGGCTGAGGGGCAGAGAGGGCGAAACACGATATGGACGTCCCGAAATCACAGAGGCAGGCTGCAAATGTCTCTGAAACCTGAGATCCAGTAGGCTTGAACAGTGAAGATAAGACCACCACTAATTGTACTTCGACTACACAGTACAGTTGAAGTAACAGTGCAGAAATGAGAAACACTGTCGTCGGCCATATCTGAGAACAGCAGAGTTTGGTGTTGCATTGCAAAAGTCACAGTAACCATAAAACAAACACCGCTCTGATCTTGTTTTTGGTCTATTTATTTTCCAGCTTCACGACGATGACGACGACAGCATTAATATTCTGAACTTAGTCACTTAGTCATTTTGTTATTTTAAAAATCTCTTTCCAGCATTTCATCTTGACATTTAACTGCATATATTTATATTTATATATATATATAAATATATATATATATATTTGCAGTTTTTCTGTTTGTGTAAGTTTGCCATAGATTCTTGTTAGTGAAGGTGTAGAACTCCAGACAGTGTTTCACCAAATCCAGTGATCTGTAAATAAGCACAGGCTGAGGTGTCTGTCCAATCACTAGCCACTAGCAGAAGCTTTATTCTTTTGTACTTTGTGTTTCATTTTTTATTTATTTTTTTCAAATTGTTTTGGAAATCATTTTCTGTTTTTGTGTTTTTTAATACTTGGTACAAGGAAAAAAATAAGATTTTCATTGCATTGTTGAACTATGTTTTTACTGTTTATATAACAATATACAATATATACAGCCTGAATCATAATTGTTTTTTCACATAAATAAACACAACCAAATTTGTCTTCTCCATTTAACCATCCCTTAAACTGGAGAAGTGGGCTGCAGTATACTGGTTCTAAATCCCAAGTGTGGGATTTGAACCCACGCCCCATCTGGAGGCATCTTTTTGCACAGAAAGGAGTCAACTTGAAACCTGCATTTTAAATGGATATTAGAAAATGAGGTTAATATTACACAATGAAGTTCTACCACTGCACTTGGGCTCTGTACCAGGGCTTTACAGCTGTACTCACAGTGCACCTGCAGGATAAAGTCGGTATTTATGTTTGTAAACATTAGGCAAGAATTGTAACACACTTTTCCTTCAAACTAAATTTTGTAAATGTTGAATGTTACCGTTTCTTGAAATTCATCATTGGGTCTAATTCTGCTACAAGGACAGAAAGAGGAAGTGGATGAGAATACTGTGAATGTGCATGTGGAACATGTGTGATGCGTATAAATTATCTTAAAACAGGGATTCATGGTTTATCAAGATTCACTCATGAGTGCTGAGTTTAATCCATGGCAAAATACCAAAAATCTGGAGAGTCTACTGGTGACTATGAAATAAAATCTGCAGCTGGATTTCATTTGAATTTACAAAGAAACGGTACCAGGGCTTCAAAGCAGCAGCTGCAGGAAACGCTGATGCACATTTCATGGAAAAAAAGAGCAAATTGCCAACTAAAAGAGTTTAATTTAGTCAGCCATATTTGGACAGTGCTTCTCCTTAAAACCTAAAAGATAACACGTCAGGCGTACGAGCCACGTGTCATCAACCTGCAGCCGTGGCAGACAGGATTTGTCCAGACTTGACTCAGTGGGGCGGTGGGACAGTGAGGCATTGAGAAGACTGGCCCACACACAGTAGGGGGTTCACGACAGGTGCATACAAACAGACACACAATACAAGCGCTCGCACACACACACACACGCACTGCCTGACTTCTCTCAGCCTCCCACGTCTACACACACAAGTGCTGCCTTTCCATCTCCCAGGACTGTGTTTGAGCAGCTCATGATTCTCCCGTTGATTGCTCAACACCCACTCAGATCGCTGCAGGCTGCCCTTCTTAACCTCTCCCCTCACATGACACGCCTGGTTTTTCTTTTCTTTTTCTTTTACTACATGACCGCTGGAATTTTCCACTTCCACACAGAGATAGTGAGCAAAAAGGTAATATCTATCCTTGTTAGCACCCACCCACCATCCCCTTTGTCCCTCCTTCTTTCCCTCTGTCTCTCTCCCAAACTCTTTCTCCACCCTTCTTCCCTCTCCTCCTCCTTTTCATAACATTGAGGTAATCCTCGATTGCTAGCACCATGACTGAAAACATTCCTAACATCTCTTTGAGGGGGCTGACAGGGAAGCACCATGCCTGCGCTGTCATCATTGCAGGCCTCGTCGGACTCCCTTACTTCCGTAATAAACCTTTTCTCACCACTTTCCACATGCACTAAATTAACATTTAGTGCATTCAGTGTGACTCCCCTAAAAGGACAGACCTGACACGGACCTCGCTCTACAGCCACAGACATCTTTGCAATAGTTTATACCCAGAATGCTTTGCAGGATGACAGCTGCAGTGCTCAGACGTGTGTATCTGTGTGTGTGCGTGTGTGTGTGTGCTTGGGGTATGGCACACCTGTTGAAGCCAGAAAACGCAGGTGAACAACATGTCAGCACAGCCTCACCGCAAAACAAGACAGGCCACATTTTTTGACAGTCATCACTGAAGAAGACACTTCCTCTGAACCTTCGGATGAAACATGTGCCAACTATTCAGTTCTATCCAGAATACACGTCTCCGGGTCACAGCACATCACTGACTGTCTTACTTCAGACCACAGACCAGTCCACATTGGAACCAATTCAATAACAGTCATACATTCAAGTGTACAGTCGTCAAAGTGAGGAGCTATTAATTGGTATCAGCTAAAGTCCTCACCTTCGATCATCAATCTTGGCACAAAATGCAGCTGCCTAAAGTTGTTTATGTTTCATTTTTAAGATTCCCTATCATGCAAACACCTAAATTCTAATCTCTTATTTTATCCCTGCTTTAGCTTTTAGTTTAAGTAAAAAAAGTTTTAGTTTATTTTACCTAAATAGCAGTTTACCACAATTTAAAAGCCACAATATGATAATGTCTGTTCAAAAGGTGGCTTGAGGGCCACATGCAGTTCAGACTAACTGTTTTTATTCATATGTTTTGGTCCATATTCTATAGTTTCCTCACAGCCACAGAAGCTGTCCAGCTGAACTTCTTAGTGTGAAATTCTGACCCAACCTAATTTACAACTGAACTTCCCTGCAGTGATGGGTGAATAAGAACAGTAACGACACAAACTAAACTCTGTTCTTTTAAGCTTTTTTCTCCTCTGAACTCTTTGTCAACCTGTGCTGCTGCGTAAATGGTTGGCAGCAGTGCTGCAGAGTCTAGACAGGTCCATGAAGGAAAGACTACACGTGTATAAAACGGTCCTGTTGCTAATGTGAATTTGGGTTTTCCCACCAGCTGAGACAAAAAAATCCTGGCAAAAAAAAGTGGAATTCCCACTGGGAGGGATGACTCTCCGGCTTTTGGAGGCCACTGGGGCTCCGAGACTGCAAGGTAGACAGTATTACATACAGTGCAATCGTTAACATTCCCTGAAGCTCACGTCAGGGCAGCTTTTAGATGTCTGAGGTCATGGTCCTGTGAGAAGCCTTCTTCTCGGGGCATGCCTTGGCTCCGGCAGCAGAGCCTCAGATGACTTATTGTAAATGGAGAGGGTGTTTAGTGCTCTCGAAAAAAACAGGCCTCCAAAAAGGGGGTCCTGTGAGTGTGTTGCTAAGAGGACAGGTTTGTGCAGGGTCTGCCTCTTTGTTGACATTCTCATGACAAATGGAAGCAGCCCGGGCCACAGCAGCAGTCCACGACACGACAGGACAGAAGTTACTGCGGTTTTAATTAAAATGTCATTGATGTGGTTCATGTTTTAGCTCTTTACCATAAAACAACATAATAAAAATGTTCTACAGTCACTGAATAATGTTTTGTTTAATGTCTTTTTTATCTTTTAAGCAATACAATAATTCTTAAGTTAAGTGAATACTGTAAACTTCTAATCTAAAAGAATAATTATTAAGTAAAATAATTGACATCCTTTTCAAACATTTCCATCTGTTTCATTGAACTGGAAAACATTTTTTACACTGCTTGATAAAGTTTAAAAACTCTGCCTTTTTTGAATCATACCTACCAGTAAAACAGCAGTCCCCAAACTTCTTCAAAATGACGACTTCAAAATTATTACATTTGTAAAAATGTAATGAAACCAAGAATCAATTTTCTAAATTAAATTTTAGAAACTAATATGAATACCTTTCTTACCAAAGACCCACTGAAGATGATTATTTAGCTGAGAGCAGCAACAAAGCCTACACATACCTGTGCTATCTTAATGTGCTCACGCTTGAATATCATAATATGGTTGACAATTATTTTTCTAGGACGAGATTCCACCTTGGGCTGAATCGTGTGAGAAGAATTTTATCTGACGACTGCTGAGAACAGCCATCCAGAAGAAAACAAACTGACATTCTACAAACACTGTCTGAGACTCTGGTGCCGTTCACTGATGGCTTTTATGGTTCTACCGAAGCCGGAATCAATTTCAAGTTTTTCAGAAATTATGGACAATAATTAAAGGGCAGGGAAACAAAGCCATGGGAGCTGAATTATGATGGTGAAAACAACGTAATTTTGCAAAAACAAAAAAAGAGGTTTAGTGAGGTTAAGGCCAAGGAAAACAGCAAAGACAGCAGTGCCTGTTAACCAATACACAACAAAAGAAAAAAACCTAATTAGGAAAGTGTGTAGTCGCAGAAAACCAATAGGAAAATGGGAAGACAAATGTTTTCAATTTCCTACACCTGCATGTCAGTGATTCCACCACAGGATTTGCCAATGTATTCATCTAACTTGTTCGTCTAACATTTAATGCCCCTTTTTAAGGACATTAAATGTTAGACACCTGCAATTTAATGAGCACAGCTTGACAGGGAAACAGCTCGACTCGAATCGTCAACAGAATAAAAGGACCAGGCCAATGGGATGTTTTCTTGTTCCAGCGTCTGCGTACACGCTGTGATAATTATTACTGATTTAAATGAGCTATCCGGCATCAAACGCAACACTTCTCTGAATCCACTTCGAACCTGTCACCTACAGGCAAACTCTCCCAGCAATACCGGTGTGGGCAGAAACGAGCTTGTGATGCTTGGCGATAAAAACACAGAGCAGGTTTTGCGAGTGAAATTGCAGGGAGGAAGAAGAGAGGCTGTAAAACAGTAAGCATAAGAAACGCAGGCTGTAAAGAAGAAAAAAAACACAGGTGTAAATCACGGGACAGCAGCACCGTCACCGTCTTAAGACACTGAGAGTGCAGGTACAACTGGAAGAACCTGCCCCTGGGTCACAAGACCGCAGGTACAGACTTGTTACACACAGTTCTGCGTCCAAAGATACATTCAGTTCTCCACTGGAACAGTCGCAGAAATTCAAAAAAAAGAAAGAAAAGGTATATATTTCTTTGTTGTCAGGCAAACATGATGGATGTTTGTGTTTTTGGAACCACAAATGTCTTGAAACTGAATGTTTTTGCCTGTTTGTTCTTTCATTATGGAAGTGATTTCCATATAATTATTGCTTCTCTTTGCCCCTGGCTGTTATCCAGTCAACTCACCATACATCTTTCCCTCATCTGAGAGGATGATTTTCCTCCTGCCGCACGGAGGGTAAATTGCCAGGGCCTCCTGGAAGCTCTGCTCGATATCTGGGCTCCACACGCCCTCGGCGTCCCCGTCCATGGTCTTGTCTCCGGTGTCCCCGTCCAGCCCATCTTCTGGGCTACCGTTGGCACTCCACTCGTTGGACGCAATGGTGGCGGCTCCCACTGGGCCTAACCCCGAGCTCTAATATCAAAGGATCTGTAGTGGATCTGCGGAAAATGAGCAAAAATTGTTATTTTTTTCATGAAACTATGGCAGCTAGCAGCAGTTTTAATTAACATATTAAGCCGACCAAACAGTTATATGGAGCGTTTACTTTAACCACAAAGTCTCAACCACACACAACGCTGTTATTAAAAAAAAACAGTCTAAAACAGTGAAGTTTCTCAACGCTGTTATTAAAAAAAACAGTCTAAAACAGTGAAGTTCAAAGACTTTCGGCAATGATTTCCAGAACGTCCTTTAACTAAAAATCTCTTCTCCGTCCACGACTTTAATTCAAAGGGGCAGATAGAAGAAGAGGCAGGTAGAAGAAGAGGCAGGTAAACAAAAATGGGTGTTTTTAGCTAGGCAATCCAAGACTTCTTGGAGTGCTTGGGCCACATGAATGGGGCCTGCAAAATATTTATGTTGTATTTTGTAAGTGCTCAACTTCAGATGAGCGCCAATCCCACCAATAAAATAAGTCCAACAAAAAAATAATGAAAACTATTTAATGAGAGATTTAGTGACAGTTTGGATTTACAAGAAGACAAGAACTAGAAAACTGGAGCATAAAGTTTAATCTGTATCTCTGTTACGAGGGGACATTTGGGACATTTTACCCCCTTTTGGGTAGACAACCCCTGAATGCAGGTTGATGGGAAAATTGTGCTTTTTCTTCTTTTGAAAATGATTCATATTTTAACAAAAACTGTCTACCACCAGGATATCTCACATAATATTATAACCTAATTTACAGATAATAAGAAAGCACAGAGCAACACCAGTGGGCAAAACAAAAGTGGGTATTTAATGATCTAGCTGTCAATCATTGACTGATACACGCCATCTATTATTATTGTTCACATTTTAAATAAAGTGACAACTCGTCTAGTCATCTATTGCCACAGCTTTACTGTGCAACCACTGAGTGCAGTCACCCTACATCCAGTCCTTATATACAGTCCATGGTCAAGACTCTACCATTCAGTCTCTCTGTCCCACCCTGCTAAATAATTTATGCTTTTGTGGGAACAATAAGTCTTACAACCACAGACTTGCAAGGAACGAGTTGTTTTCTTTTCATTATTAACCTTATAAACATATACTGGTCGGCCAATTGCAAAATAATAATAGACGTCTGTAATTTAACATTTTTCCATCTTAAACTCTTTAAACCACTTAAGCCACAATGTGTACAGTTTCCGGACACTATGTGCGTCTTTCTTTTGTTTTTGCAGGAACCAGAATTTATGCACAAACTCGATCCAGACCATTATTTCATCCATTATCCAAAGGGCCAGCAGAACCTGCCTTGGGTCATTTTGACCATGTGACACCGCAGGAGAAAATGCAGCTCATGTGACTGCAAAATGTGTAGCATTTTCCTGGATGGAAAAGGGTCATCGGGGTCAGATGGTACACAATACAGTCCTCCATTCAAGAAAAATTCAATGGAATTATGTGTACAGCACTGCTTAGTTAACAGCTTCCATAAAGAATGATTTCAGAGTCAGTGCCAAACTCATCTGCTCCCATTTCTACAATGATTTACATACATTTAATAGCATAAGTAGCTGCATGGAGGGAGCAGAAGTGCATCAGTTCATGTTCAACATGACAAACATAAGGCTGGAATAAGGAATGTCATTCATCTATAGGTCGGAGTTTTTGGCCTGCCCCCACTCTTTATGGCAGTCATTAAATTTGTATGGACAAACAATGTTAACCCTAATTATTACTATAATTTCCTCAATTTTACTTTTCTGAAATGGCCAAATGAATTCAAGATATTCCATAAAATGGAGTTTAAAGACCTCACTAATCAGTGCTCGCCTCAAAGAATTCTTGTGGTCTGGGAACTGTGTCCCAATGTGGTTGACTCATGGCTGACTGCAGGCAAAGATCTTAAGTATTTTTCAAGATGCTTTTTCAGCGTTGTATTGTTTCTGAGCTACACGTCGGTGAAGTAACCCTGGCCTTCGAAGGATGTGCATGTCTTTTAGTAGTAGTTTAGGAGTTTGGTTTCTTTTTTTCTGCAGATGCTGACAAGAGGTTTCACACCCTGACAGAGAGAACAATAAGAATTTATTCAAGAAAGTTCTGAGAATTGAAAGTTCAGCTGTTTGACTTATTTCACTTTTGACTTATTTGGCTTTACCTAAAAAACAGTCTGTGTGCAGACAGAGAGACTGACATATATATGTATGTATGTATATACTGTATGTATATATAGAGAGAAAGAGGGGGGATGTTATCACTATGTTTAAGGATCATTATATTCAATAAGTCAATGATTTTTAGTCTCATAATTAGGAAATTTTCACTGTGCATATGCATGTGCGATGATGCACATGCAATTGTTCACATGCAGTGCATATGTATGAGTTGTTACTTGTTCTGAGAAATCATATTCAAACTAACAGTACATGACTTGGAGGATATTCAGAGATTTATCTTGTCCAAGATACACTCAAAGTCCTTGAGTGTAGAAGTTAGAAGTAGCTCTCACCATCCTCATGTGCAGACACAGAGGCATTAATAGTCAAAACACTAGAGCGTACCATGATCCATACAAGGCTCTGCAGAAAGCTTGAAATCAAAACAAAGACTATTATAGGTTCTTACTTGTAGTCAGTTGCCAAACAGGACTGCCTAACTCCCTGTGAACAACCATTTGACTTTATGATCAGATCTCTGCTACAGGCTGAAGAAGTGTGCGCTGGGCTTTTTAAGTAACAGAGGCACAAATTATCAGTCAAAAATGATTGTGTTGTTTTGTCTCCACCAAGTAGGGACAGCTTATAGGCTCATAAGAAGCTTATAAGAAGAATAAGACATTTTCTATTCAAGGCTAAAGGTTTGGCTGTGCTTACAATCAACCACTGCAGGATTTACAGTAACAGTCTCAGACAAACTGGAGGAGGGTTGGAAGATTACTAAACATTTGCCCCAACGCTGAAACTGATATTTAAAACGTAGAATCAAGTGAGACTCCTCTTGTATTATGTCAACTGCAGTAAACAAAGAAAAAAAAGGGTACACTGACACTGACACTACAACAGATTGAATGTAAGAAATATAAGATGTTTCGGCTAAAAGCCTTATGAATGATCCACTTGAAGGTCCACATACTATTATGTGCCACTCTTGTATAAATATAAATACACGATATATTATTATAACATTATGACTTCCATTCAAAAATAGTTCTATAAGCCACCCCCCAAAAACACTGTCCTGAAGGTTCACTGGTCAGTGTCAGTGGTAGCTATCTGTGCCACACAAGTTTAGAAAAAGCTTCACACCAGCGGTGGTGCTCTAATACACATAGCAGAGAGCAGGAAATTTATGGATGTCACAGAACTCAAAGGTGGGTCTGACAGTTATTCAACACAAGTCATGTTGCTGCTAAATTTAGATGAGAGGGAACCGGTTATGGCGGGCGCTTTGGAAGAGGGTCACACTGTTAAAACTCAACACTAAAACAGACCACACGGTCAGCTCAAGTGATACCACTCAGACACACCAAACGGCTGGACCTCTACATGCACAAAAACACTCTATCCTGCCAATGGTGAAATTGAAGACTTAATAAAAATAATAATTTTAAATGTATTCATATTATAAGAAATAATAACAGTTGAATCCCAGTTCAATCTCAGTTGGAGACCAGTATCATAAGTACTTACATATATTTTTTTTGTGATCATCAAGAAAATTTTTTCTTACACATCTTATACTTGGACAAACAGACACTAAAAACTTTTTCAATCCACTTTCATCATCATCACACCTATCAACAATGCTTCCTAAACCTGAATAAACAAAAGAATTATCAATCAAATATGTTACCAGGCAATGCATTTGAACTAGGGCTGTCAAATCAAACTTCACTATTCGAGTAAAATTTTATTTTATTTTTTTTTATAAAATAACGTTTGAAAATGTGCCTTACTCAATGATACAAATCATCGACAAATAAATATAAATATTTTTCGACCTTATAATATTGCAATTTCCCTTCATGACTTGGTAAAATTTACATAACAGATTTAGGAACATAATAATAAACTAGTATAGGTGTATATAATGAGCTTTAAGAAAAACATTAAAACATTTGAACATAATTAGAACATGTGACATAAGAATCAATAGAATATTTGAATCCAATTCAAGGGGAGAATAAACAGCCCTAATTTGAACTGTCCTATCAGGTAAAAGGACTTCAGTGCTTCCACTGATTTTTGTGTTCAAGAAAAATATTTTTTATAGTATTAGTGAAAATACTAAAATAATTATTCCTCTTTATCATCACCTTTGTTTGCCCATAACCATGAATTCAACAGTGACTGCACATTAGTGCAGACCCATCTACAGTCCCTGACTTTTACCACACTGTGACATTTAAGTTCAGTTTTGTGTGTTGGCCTCATGTGCAGCAGATGCAGTTCGTGTGACTGCGGTATGAAAATACTTTCAGGCAGCCTGAAGTACTTCACTGATGAATGGACAGGTGCTGTGTGTCAATGGGTTTGTTAAATCGGGGGCAATAATCAAAGACCAGTGCCACATGAGGGGAGGGACTGGCAGCCAGTTCTTTTGTGTATCTCCAATTATAGCAGGGAAACAGGGCAAACCTCCTACACTCTGGAAGCTGTGAAGAGCAGCTAGCAGTTCTCCACTGAACACACGGACCAGACTTTAACCTTGGTGGACAAGAGAGGTGCCACGAAAGAAACGCTCTTCACTGTGAGAGGCCTGAATTCCAGACATGTCCTTATTAAGAAAGAGCTTGCGAGTGTTCACTGTTTCTCCTCCTGCCTCCCTTGTGTCAACCCAAAGCCCTCCCTCTCTGCCCTCCTTCGCCTGCTCCCCTCTTCCACCAGGCGCTCAGAACGTCTCTCTCCCAAATAAGGACAGGAGACCAGAGGATGCGTGTATGGGAGGAGTGGGTGGTGGGTTGGTTGGTTGGTTGGACAGTAACAGCAGGGGAAAGGGGGTGTGT